CGAAACACTACTTTGAGGAGTTTTACTGTATTTCCCATTCTATTCTTTTTTAAAAATTATAATAATAGAAAAAAATAAAACAAAATAAAAAACTACAGAAGTTAGTAAAATAAATAATTTTTATTACACTAGAACCTCTCAAGTTGAGACGAAACGCTACTATGAGGAGTTTTACTGTATTTTCCATTCTATTCTTTTTTAAAAAATATAATAATAAAAAAATAATAAAAAATGACAAAAAACTACAGAAATTAGTAAAATAAATAATAATTTTTATTACACTAGAACCTCTCAAATTGAGACGAAACGTCACTTTGAGGAGTTTTACTGTATTTTCCATTCTATTTTTTTTAGAAACTATAATAATAAAAAAATTAATAAAATATAGTAAAAAATAACAAAAAAACACAGAAATTAGTCAAATAAATAATAATAAATAAAAAATCCAGACTTTCCTCGGAAGGAAGTGAAATATCAGTTCGAAAGTTTTGAAAAATCGAAGATGCAGGAAAAAAAAGTGTGAGAAATATTGAAACAAAAAAAAATCTTATCCTAGACTTGTCAAAAAAAAAAAAAAAAAAAAAAAAAAAAATGAAAAAAGAAAAAAAAGTTGTTTCGAACAACTTTCTTTATCTTTCCTCTTCGTCATGCTTTGGATATTCTTTTAGTTTCACGAGGAATGCCTAAAGGCACGTACATACACGTTCACGGCATTCTGGTTCAACGACGAGTCCCGAATCTCTAAATAAGCTTGCCATGTCGCGCATAGAATACAGGATCCCATAAAAAACCTCATCTTATGTGCAGAAAATAAAAAAAATTCTCCAGGAATACGCCAAGGAGAAGGAGACAGTCAAGGAGGGAGGTGAGGGGGAAATAAAAATATTGAAGTCGCCGAGAAAAATTTCTCTCTCTCTCTCTCTCTCTCGACTATAATACATAAATTGCATAATTTTATGTTCAGTATATTATATATTGTCGGAAAAAAAAAATAATTTTCATCAGATTTTTGTTGAAAATTTTAATTATCTGGGAAAATGCACATGAACTTTGCTCTGTTCGATTGGAAATTCTTTTCTCGGTTTTTTTTTAAAAACAGTTTTATAATTAATGAATAAATCAACTTTTTTTGTTTCTTGTTACTTTTTTCTATTAGAAAAATCTTCGAATTTTAATATTTGAAAGTTGGATTTTTTAAAATTTTGAAAATTTCCTTAAATATTTAAAAATCTGATTTTTTACAATAATTTTTGAAAATTTTTTTTCACTGTTTTGTCCAAATCAAGACTAATATTGTTAAATTAGAAAAATAAAACTGAAAAATATGAAAAAAATTCAAATTTATATTGTAAAGAAATTGAAAAATAAATCAGAATACTTTTGTATAGTTTTCAAATAGTCTCTTTGTCGGAAGGTGGAAAAAAAGTTTCCCTTGTAAATATACGACATTTTATTGAAGGAGATTGATCGACTTATAATGTAACACCGTTACAAGAATTCCCTGAGGCTCACACATATGCCAACGATTACTATATTGGAACCTGCGAGAGTAAGAGCTGTTTCATGTTTTCAGTTTACTGTGTCGTATTTTCAAAGCTAAGTGCGTTCTAATAAAATTTTCAACTTTTCTGATGTACAGATCCCTCCTTTGAGAATTACACACAATAGAAACAACATAAATACCCAATGATGCTGGGAAAAAAAAATTCAATGAAATTTTTCTCATCAATATAATACACATATTTTGTCCCTTGGGATATTTTGAGTACACTTCTCCCATTTTTCTTACTTTTTTCCGATTTTTGTTATTTTTTTCTACAATTGTTAGAAATTATGTGCAATTTTGATAAATTGAATACAATTTTTATTAAAATTATTAGTCAAACTAAAATTTTTTTCTATTTATAAAAATTTTCTATTGTTATTTCTTTTTTTCCATATAATTACTTTATTCTACTTTATTTCCTTTTTCCTATTTTCATTTTTTCTTCTTTCATTTTGTCTGTTTTTATTTATTCTTATTTACTTTCTTCTATTTTTTTTATTCCTTATTTTTTACCATATTTATTTTTTCCTATTTTTATTTTTAGCTTCTTTACTATATATTTTATTTTTCAACTTGAAACTTTTTTAATATACAGTTGAACCTCGTTCTTGTACAATTTCCTTTTTTGTTCCCAATTCGAGAGGTTTTACTGTATTTGGTTTCTATTCAGTTTTCAACTTTTGATTCATAATTTAAAAAGTCGAAAACTGTTCCTTGAAAACTAAAAATTTTAAAATGTTAGTGTACAAATGCTACAGTGGAACTTCCTTTGTTTATAAATGTCTGAGAATTTTTACCGTAGATTTTAGATTTTTATTTTTTTTATTTTAGATTTTTTTCTATTCTATGAATTCAAAAATCGCCTTCCTACGAAAAATGTCAATTTATTCAAAAAGTTTAATTTTGAACTGTTACAGTAGAACCTCCTTTGTGTGTAAAATGCCCAATTTAAGAGGTTTTATTGTACTATTTACTCATAACAACAATTGTAAATCATTATAAATAAAATAATAAAAAATCAATATTTATTCTTATACTTAATTAAGTAAAAAAATTCTGGAATAAAGATTTACTATTTTTTTAAAATAAAATTATGATTTAACCACACACACGGATCTGGAAATTATTTTACCGTCAAGGTCTAGAGAAAGCGCGGCATGTTTTTAAAGTGTGTGTGTGTGTATGTGTGGAGAACGTGGTGTTTAAAAAAGGTATATACACACCGGGTGGAGTACCAAGAGACTCAGACCTGGTTAACGAGGTCCTTGTCTCGTACTCTTTTACATATATACATATATACGAGTCATATTGCGTAGGACATATAATGCGTGCGCACATATTTACCTCCACAGTGCTCGAATCCCTCTTTGCAAATATAGACCAGTCTAACGAATTTTATAAATAACAAATATTTTTCAAGTTTTACTCTCTGCCATTTATATAATGACCCTTTAATCAACGTTTTTCCACAAGGCAAATAATTTTCTCGTTAATTATTTTTTATTCGCATTTTATGCAACGAGACGAGAGACTGTCAACAAAATTTATTCAAAATTTTAAACGCTCCTTTCTCATTTTGTTCATTATTTTTCTATTTTAATTCGATTTTAATAAAAAAATATATATTTCACAATTTTCCATTATACTGTAAAACCTCAATATTTAAATTTAAAAAAAAATTTCCGTTACACTTGAACCCTGTTAAATTGAGACAAGTTTTAACTCGAGAGGTTTTACTGTAAAAAAAGAAGTTTATTTATTACAAAAAATACATTTAGAAATTGTTTCTAATATTACAAAAAAAAAATTCGAAATTAATTAATAATCTTTAGCTACACTATAACCTTCTTCAAATGAGACATGTCCTAACCAAATAAGGCTAAATGACATAAAATAATGTTAAATATTAAAAATATCGATTTTTTGTATAATATTGAAATTTTTTTTATAACCAAAGGGTTGAGACAAAAAAACGGGTAAAGCATTTTGAAAAGCCCAAAAATAATGAAGCTAAATGCGATCTAAAAGAAGAAAAAATGTTGAATTTTAAGAAATTCGGTTTTTTGAATTTTTTCGATTTTTTGATAAATTTAGATTTTTTACCAAAGAGTGGAGACTATTAAATAAGTAAAGTATTTTCCAAAAGCACAAAAATAATAAAGCTAAATCCCATAAAAGAGAGGAAAAAATGTTGAATTTTAAAAATTTCGATAAGAAAAAATTATTAATTTAAAAAAGAAATTATTTCTTCTTCCGCTTTTAAACGTTAGTTTTCAATTTGTTTTTGAATTTTTTTTTGCGCTCAAGTACAAAAATACGTGATTTTAATTCCACTCGTGGAGGAATTGAGAGTGAGGGGTGGTGCGAATTGAACTTGTGATTACTTCTGGCTTAGTAAATATATACACGAGCGTCATTTGTATTTCAAGCCAGAAGTAGGAAATGCTTTCAATGTAATCACACGAGGTGTTCATCTGTAAACACGAAAAACAGAGTTCTATTCAAATGAGTTAATTAGATCTCGTTCGGACCATAAAAAATGTAAAATAAACCATGAAACTGAAACTAAAATCATTGCGAATATTCTCATTAAAAAAAAGTCATTAACGAAGTAAGAATTTCTTTTTTAATTTTTAATAATTTTTTTCCTTTTCTTATTACTAATGGTCATTATTTATTTGTTAATAATTCATTATTTACTTGTTGAAAATTTTAATAATTTTTTAAATAACTACGATTTGCAATTAAATTTTTTTTTTTCTATTATTTATTTTACTTCACTTTTCATTTATTCTTTTTGTTTTATCTATTTATTTATTTTATTTATTTTATAATTTAATGAAAAAATAATAGGTATAAATAAGTTTAAAATAGTTCACACGCTATTTAAGGTCACTTACAACTTGTAGAAGAAAATTTCTATCGAGTTTCCTATCTACAATCTCATTATTCGGTGGATCGGTAAAACAGATTTACCGACCGGCTAAAAAAATGAGATTGTAGATAGTAAACTCGATAGAAATTTTCTTTTCTAACTTGTAAGTGACTGTAAGTCAGGTAAAGTATTATTTTATTTATATTTTTTTTTTCGTTTTTTAGAAATAAAAATTAAATTATAAAATTAAAATTAAATTGAAAAATAGAGATAAATAAATAAAAATTTAAATAGCTAATAAAAACACCAATTTTGAACCTTTTAACTAAAATTTAAAAACTTTTCATGTAAATGAATAAGAGAATGAAAATAAATAGAATGAATTTTGTATTAAAATTAGCACAAAAATCGATTTCCATTAGTCCTCGTGGAAAATAATGTATGTATATATATGTTTGTATTGCGGTTAAATTGGGTCGACGAATCGATAAAATATTCTCTGTGGAATTCAACTCTTGCAAATTTTTTTTTGTCTTTTTGTATTTATTATATCTTTTTCCCCTCTTATTTTTTTTGCAGGTTACTTATTCAGCAGATTTAGCCATTGAAATCCCGGGTAATTTAAGTCAGGGTGGCGCATGGTACCGACTGGATTATAATCCAGGAATTGGATATCCCCGACCAAATACAACAATTGCTGCCACTGAAATTGGGGACGTTATCTACTTCCGGGATGGCCTTCCAGGGACTAAATATGAATTTTGGCTTTACTATAGTAATGGAACTTTTCACGATTGGCTCACATGGACTGCCTCCATAATAACTCGTAAGTTACACTATTTTTACCACTTCCACAGTTTCCTTTCCACTTTTCCCCTCTCCTATTATTTCGCTCCCTTTACCATTAGGATAAAAATAGAACTACTCTTTTTTTCCTCCTTTTTTTATAGTTTTCCTATTCGGTTTTATTGCTAATTTGGCGAATTTCGTGTTTTTAGGATATATTCAGTTCTATTTCTCGAAAATTACAAGTTAATTTTCTTATATTTTGGTCGTATTTCACTGTTTAGTATCTTAAGTAAGTGCCGCTGGTATTTAATTGCGAAATTCGTTAAAAAAATCGGTAGGTATCTACATTACCGACGGGGAATTTTTTAAAATTTGTTTAATCTGTTTCTGTTATTTTTGTCATCTTTGTTTAATTTTCGGGACACTTGGTAAATTTGCTAGTTTTCTTATTAAAATTTAAGTGTATTAATTTTTTGTAAGTATTAATTTAATTTATTATAAATAAAATATTAAAATTAAAAATATTACATTTTACTTACCATTTTCTTTTGTCGTCTTTTTCGATGTCCAATCAGAACTTGCTCCTCACCAGTTATTGATTTGTGGAAAAACTTTGCACGTTTATTTTATCTCACCGATTATAATTTAAGGCTGACTTTTATTGTCCTAATGCCTTTCAGACTGAAAGTAAACACCTATAGCGTTCCGAAATTGCATGTAATAAGAACTGCCCTTTTCTGTTCATTTCGAAGAATTGTGGTCGGCAATTTTAGTTTCAAAAGGAAAGAATTGATTTTCTTTCTATTTAGTTACCATACACAATTTTTTTTATTTATTGTTAAAAATTAAATTTCATTACTTGAATAAAAACATGCCGGTACTTAAATAATTTAAAGTATGAAGCTGAACGATTTAACTTGTAGAATGTGACTTAAAATGGAAATTCTACTTTCTTTCTCAGAGAATATAAGCGAAACGTCTACAAGTTTTGTGACGTCCTATTACTTATTGTCTAAACTAAGTGCCTCTGCTATTTTTTATTAATCTAGTAACAAACAATTTCAACTAGATTTCTATATTACCGACAGAAGTTTTTTTTTCAATCTTTCGATTAACTTTGAAACTTCCCTTCTAGTGGTTTTTTGGGTCGCTGATTATGAATTCACTATAAAAATTTCAAAATTCAACGAAACAAACGCATATTTCTTTTATTTTACCATCAAAAATAAAAATTATGTCTTTTTTCTCCAAAACTAAAAGTGATACTTCAGGAATTCTTCTACTATTCTTCTATTTAATGAAAATCCAAAGTGCCTCTACTATTTTTTTGAGAAATGCTTGCAAAAAGTTCAGATTTCTACATTACCGACAGAATTTTTTTTTTCCACAATTCACTTTGAAACTTCCCTTCCAGGGGTTTTTTGGGTCGCAGATTACGAATTCACTGTCAAAATTTCAAAATTCAACGAAACAATCGAAATAAATGAATATTTTTGAGAAAATAATGGAATGAAATCCCTTTCTTGTCAGAAAATGACTAGAAATTGAAGTTTATTAATAAAAATTCCAATTTACAGCTCCTGATCCACCGTCGAACTTATCAGTCTCAGTGCGTAATGGAAAATCGGCAATCGTCTATTGGGCACCGCCTGAAAAGGGAAACTACACGGGCTTTCGATTGAGGGTGCAAAGTTTCAACGATGCTGCTAATCCATGGACAAGAATCATCCCCTCGGACGCAGTGCCTTATACACTCAAGGATCTTACACCGGGAGCTACTTATTCCCTTCAACTATTCACCGTCTTAGATTCAAAGGAGAGTGTCGCTTATACCAGCAGAAATTTCACTACCAGTACGTATACACATATATACAAAACATAAATTTACCCGCAGATCTTGAATTATTAATACCCAATCAAGTAAAGTTTCATGGCAAATTTATATATATATAGTGCGGTTGGGAGATGAAGGTGAAGTGAAGGAGGTTGTGGAGAAAGAGGATTTCCCAGAGAGAGGAAAAAAAGAGAGAAATTTTCTCGAGAAAATGGGATGAGAACTTACCCTCAAGTTTCCTAAGCTTCTCAGGAAAGTTGAGAACTTGACGAACGACGACTCAAGAGACGAGGATTTTCTCTTAATGAGAAACTCTCTCGTCTTGGAAAATTATCTTTGACTTTACGCTTTTTACGGCTCATTCTCCTAATGAAGTTCTGTTTTCACATTTACTCCTCGTCATGCTCGCGCTTATTCTGATAAATGCTTCGCGAAATTCTTGAATTTACATCTCTAGCTTTTCATTATGATGCGGAAATTTTTTTTCTATTTTTTTATTCAAGAAACTATTTTATTTTCAAAGATAACTATATTATTATAATAAAGATCTTAAACTTTTGGCCTAGGCCAAACAAAAAAGTTTAAGATCTTTATTCAATAAATTAATAAAGTAAACTTTTATTTAAATTTTTGAGGATAATTTAATAGTAATTTACTTTTGACATGTACCTATATAATAAAATCAATTTTTTTTTTTTGCATAACAGAGCCGAACACTCCGGGAAAGTTCATCGTGTGGTTTCGAAATGAAACAACTTTATTGGTCCTCTGGCAACCGCCTTATCCGGCTGGGATTTATACGCATTATAAAGTCAGCATTGATCCTCCGGATGCTATCGAGCCAGTCCTTTATGTTGAGACTGAAGGCGAACCTCCAGGTCCAGCACAAGCCGCTTTCAAGGGTCTTATTCCCGGTAAAAATATTATTTTTTCATTACACTATCCAAATATCTCTTTCTATTAAATTTTACCCTCTTCCTTTGGTTTTTATTTGCTCTTCGTTTCCTTTTCCTATAAAGGTACAATTTTTATGCGTAATTTATCTCAATTTTGATTTACGATCCTATTTATTTTATTATTATTTATTTTACAAATTATTATTAATTTTATCATATCAATCCTCCACTTTTCCATGATTTTCTTTTTTCTAAATAGAAAAATTCTTCTTCAAAAAAGCGGAATATTTAATTTTTTCCTTCTATTCTTCTTTTTTTCGCAGGTAGAGCCTATAATATTTCAGTGCAAACGGTCTCGGAATATGAGACCTCGGCACCGACGACGGCTCAATATCGTACAGTACCATTGAGGCCATTGAACGTGACCTTTGACAAAGCGTCAATCACCTCAACATCGTTTCGTGTCTATTGGAATCCTCCAAATGGAACTTCTGAATTTGACAAGTACCAAATAACTCACGGTGGAAATAGACGATTCACTCCGGTCACGCGCAACAAGGACGAGGAATGCCGATGGGAATTCAAAGATTTAGAACCCGGCAAAACATATCAGGTTGTCGTGAAAACAATTTCCGGCAAAGTCACCAGTTGGCCGGCTAGTGGCGATGTTGTGCTCAGTAAGTCTGTTACAAAAAACAATTAAGAAAATGAAACAAAAATAGTATAGTAACCATTACTGTACCAACGGTTTTGGAACAGTTTTCTTAGCAACCGTTGCCAAGGTTTCGGTCGCTATGGCAACGGTTGCTAGGGAATTCCTTAGAAACAGTTCCCATAGTAACCTAACGTCCCCCTTAGTAACTTATTTCCTAGGAACAGTTCCCTTTTAATAAAAATATCCTCCTCGCAGAACCTTTGCCAGTTCGTGATCTCCGGGCGGAAATTGACGAAAGAACATGGATGGTAGAAGTCTCCTGGACGCCAGAGAATTCCAGCACTCAGGACAGTTACAAACTCCAATATCACGAAGTCGAATCAACAATCGGCGGCGACAGCAACAGTCTAATTACAGATAAAACAAGAGTAAACATCTTTTTTCCTAACTTAAAATCTAATCTAATCTAATAATTAATTATTCTATTCTCCAACCCTTTTTTTCTTTTCCAAAAAGGTAACCCTGGAGGCACTGCTCCCAGGCAGGAACTATTCAATAATTGTCCAAGCAATAAGCAATAAAGTCGAATCAAATGAAACAGTATTATATCAAGCGACACGTCCCTCGAGTCCAATAATTGAGGATTTAAAATCAATCGAGAAGGGTTTAAATATATCGTGGAAGAGCGATGTTAATTCACGTCAGGAGAAATTTGAAGTGACACATAATCGTAATGATACAGGTGAAAGTGCAACAACATTAACAACCGAGTCACATATTGTACTTGAGGATCTTTATCCGGGTGCTGGTTATGAGGTCAAGGTCTTTGCCATCAGTCATGGACTGAGAAGTGAACCTCATGATTATTTCCAAGCAGTTTGTAAGTATTTTTTTTTCCTTTTATCTCCGCGCTTTGTTTTCTCAATGTTGTATTGAGATTGTGTTACGATATCGAAAAATTGAATCGATTTTGTAATTTATCAATCTTTTTCTTTCTCTATTGAGTAATGGAGAGCATTTATACCGAGGTGTTTTTTTTTTATTCTAAAGTCAAGGACGTTTTTTGTTTCCGTTTTGATATATGGATGTTGAGAGATAATATTTAGCAATTATGATTTTTTTCCTCTCAATAATTTCTTACATCCGTTGGGAGAATTGTTTTTTGAAAGAATAATACGGTTTTCACACCAATTTTTGAGGAATTTCAGGGACAATTATTTTTAACGCTTTTCAATTGTTTCAATTCTTTAGTTTTTTATTTTTAATCGATTTTCCCTTATTTAATTCTGTCTACTATCGTTTTTTCAATTATTGCATTTTTTCTACTATTCTTGACATTGTTTTACAATTTATCTTTATTACAATCCTTTTTCTTAAAGGATTCTTGTCATAGTTTTACGATTTATCTTTATTAAAAACAACCTTTTTTAAAGGATTCTTGGCATTGTTTTACACGATTTTTTTTATTACAATCCTTTTTTTAAAGGATTCTTTTCAAAGTTTTACGATTTATCTTTATTAAAAACAACCTTTTTTAAAGCTGAATCTTCTGCAGCACCTGAAACAGAAACAAAAGAAATTTAATGTTTTATCTTTATTACAAACCTTTTTTTAAAGGATTCTTGTCATTGTTGTACGATTTATCTTTATTACAATCCTTTTTTAAAGGATTCTTGGCACAGTTTTACGATTTATCTTTATTAAAAACAACCTTCTTTAAAGTTGAATCTTCTGCAGCACCTAAAACAGAAAAGAAATTTAATGTTTTGAATTTACGAAAAGAAAATTGTGACTAAATAGTTAAAGTAATTTCGTGAAATTTGCAGTACCCCATCCGCCGAGGAATTTGAGTGTCGAAAAAGTGTCAACAAATACTGTGCTCGTACATTGGGAGGCGCCGACAGACTCAATATTTTCCGAATATGCAATCAGATATCGCACAGAAGACGATCCACGATGGGTGAAGCTTCCAAGCGTGAAAGAAACGGAAGCGGAAGTTGCTGACATGACGCCTGGCGAAAGATACACAATTCAAGTGAATACTATCAGTTTTGGAGTGGAGAGTCTCTACCCTCTTCTTGTTAACCACACCGTTCGTAAGTCTCCCGCACCCTTATCATCAACAACCAACAAAGTATTTTTCATTTTTTTTTTTTTTTTGCATTATCATCACGAGCAGAAGGCATTATAATGAAACATTCCTTTCCAAATAGTATTTTTTTTAATATATATAGGAAGTTATCAATCTATTTTTTTCTTAAATTTTCTAAAAACTAAAAATAGAAAATTGATGATTCCTTTTCTGATAAATCTGCTTTTTTCAGGACCAAATCCGGTATTGAATGTAAATCCAGTCATTGACTCGACAAACGTGACACTTGAGTGGCCAAGGCCCGAGGGAAGAATCGAATTTTACGCTATGAAATGGTGGCCCGTGGATAATCCGGATGATGTGAGATTTAAAAATGCATCGGAAAGCAGTGAAATTGCGGCAATTGGTTATGATGAAAATATTATTCATACGGAGAGAATTCTTATCAGCGATTTAATGCCTGGGGTGAAATATTTTTTCAGTATTTTCACTGTCTCTTATGATCTCGTCAGTGATACTACAAATTTAACAACCAGAACAAGTACGTTTTTTATTCAAAATCCTTTTGAATCTTCCAAATCTTCCATTTGGTATAAATATTTAGAAATAAAATCTAGAGAAAAGTATACTTTACTTTTCTCTAGATTTTATTTCTAAATATTTAAAAAGAGAAAAAGAAAAGTAAAGTATACTTTTCTCTAGATTTTATTTCTAAATATTTTTTCCCGTTTGCTGTTTTGAATTTTGTTCTTCCCCTTGTTGGTTTTTATTAACATTTATTTTTGACATGTAAGCAAAAAAGGTAGAGAAAATTTTTACTAACCCACATCCGATGTTCAGTGCCGCTGATTCAATCGGAAGTTGTCGTTGTTGTTGATCGTGATTTGCCGGATTCGCTGACACTAAGATACACGCCGACGCCAATTTTGTCCTCTCGCTTTGATATGTATCGATTCCGCATCAGCGACACTATTAACACCACCAAGGAAAAAACTTTGACCGACGCCGACACAAAGGTGACTTTTGCCGGATTGATACCAGGTAGGCTGTACAATGTGACCATGTGGACCGTGAGCGAGAACGTCGAGAGTCGTCCCCTATTCCGTCAAGATCGTCTCTGTAAGTATACGAAAACAAAAACAATTTTTATATCATTATTCGATTTTTGCCTCCTGTGTTTTCCTTCCCTTTGTTACCCTTCAGTTTTTCATTTCGATTTTGCAATTTTCGCCTTTGAGTTTTTAGCGGGTGTGTACGAAGCTTAAGCGCAAGCGCCTCAGTGGGAACAGTGAGTGCGAGAGAGAAAAACCGAAATGTCTCTCTCACTCCAATTACCCCCACTCTCACGCCTGCGCTCTGCTTCTCAGAATTCGTTATTTGTTTCATTTCCGTACGGAGACTTGTTTAACGAAAATAAATAGAAGAAATTTCCTTAAACTTTTGTTTTTATTATTCATGAAAACCATGAATATCTCATGAATGTTTATTCCACTTGTAAAAGCGTTGAAAGATTGAAATTAACTCGGGCATAATTTCCACTTGGTGCGACACTGCAAAGTCCATAACGTAACACGTGCCATTAAATTTGCAATTCAAATGAATCCTTCTCCTGATTTTTTATTCATTCACTCGACGAATGAATACTCCAATTAGATTTTCCAACTTGCAGAAATTTACGATGAGAAAATCCTGTTTGCATAAAATAAAAATTGCTTTATTTTTCTTTACCACTCTACTCTGTTTCGAATTTTAGAAAATACAGAAGATTTTAGAGAAGACTAAAGAATTGTCTTTCTGAAGAATACTTTTTTTGAAGACCCTAATCCCTAAGTTGAATTAACAATTTTTTTTACAGATCCAGAGCCTGTGACGGCGATTCATGCATTGGAATTAAATGACACAAAGATAACATTGACCTGGGACATTCCACGTGGTGAATACGATGCCTTTGAAGTGCAATACATCAACACTGAGGGCAACTACGTACAGAATATAACGTCGGGAAATGCAATTACAATATCGGATCTGAAGCCACATAGAAATTATACATTCACCCTTGTGGTCAGATCGGGTACAGAATCGAATTATCTGCGCAGGTCAAATCCGATCAGTGCCAGTTTCACGACCAGTGAATCTTTTCCTGGGAGGGTTGATAAATTTAATCCCACTGATATTCAACCAAGTGACATCAGCTTCGAATGGTCACTGCCGAGTCAAGATCAAAATGGAATTATACGCAAGTTCACCATCGTTTATGGCCTCGAGGTGAATGGGAAAATTTTTTTGTTTCTAATTCTTCAAATCAATCTTTATTATAATTCAAGATGTGCCTTCAAAATGTGAAATGTTTAACCATTTTCCATCACATTTTGAAGGCACATCTTGAATCTTGTATTATACAGATTGAAAGTTTGCAATGTTTTTTAATTTGGAAAATAATAAAGCTCTTGTTTTTTCAAATAGGGATCGTCACATTCCCAAACGAGGGACTTTAGACCTAGCGAATTCCGTGGAATTATTAAGAATCTAATTCCGGGTAAGACGTACGTCTTTAAAATTCTGGCGGAAACTAAAATTGGCTTTGGTCCGGAGGCAACTTGGAAGCAAAAAATGCCTATTTTAGCACCACCGAAACCACCGACACAAGTTGTACCGACGGAAGTTTGTCGTAGCAGCACAACTATTCAGATACGATTTAGGAAAAATTATTTTAGCGATCAAAATGGTGCTGTGATGTCGTACACAATTATTGTCGCCGAAGATGATAGTAAAAATGCTTCTGGTCTGGAAATGCCAAGTTGGAGGGATGTTCAAGCCTACAGTGTGTGGCCTCCTTACCAGGTAAAGAAATTTTTAATGTTGCTTTGGAAATAATGGTAAATTTTTTAAGGATTCTTGGCATACTTTTACGATTTATCTTTATTAAAAACAACCTTTTTTAAAGTTGAATCTTCTGAAGCACCTGAAACAGAAACAAAAGAAATTTAATGTTTTAAATTTACACGAAAAAAAAAAATATTTGCTGATAATTCTCTATATTTTGTTTTTGCAACTATTTTACGATTTGCCTTTATTAGAAACCCTTTTTTCGCAAGCTAATAATCTTTTGCTGCTTCTGAAATTTGGAACTTTGAAGAATTTAGAAAAGTTGTACCTTGTCCCTCCTTCTGAAGATTTCTGAAACAAAAGAATTTTTATTATTTTAATATTAAGATTGAAAAAATTCTAAAGAAGAAAGATAGGGGGTTTGAGATAGAATAACATCGGCACTGAACGCTTATACAGAATGCAAAAAACAGTCTAATTATCGATTCGTCGATTTATTCTGATCACGAGTTAATTCTTTAGTGCGCACGCAGATCGCGACTTGTGCGCGTTTTACCTCGAAAATAAGTGAGGACAAATTATTATCATTACGCATCGTGTGAAGTAATGACACTTTGTAAAATCTCTATTAACATTTAATCGGTTTTGTAAAATTTTTAACGGAAAAATAATTATGGATATTTTTCATAATCTCCTCAATCGAACTGGACAATTTTTCCATAAGGTAGATTCATCAAAATTTCTGATTTAAAAAAATGGGATAAAATTGATTCAACAATTTTTTCTATTTTTTGTTGCTATATTGTCAGAATATCAGACCGTAGTTCTAATTTTATTCCCTAAGCAGATGATTTAGTAGCACCCAGAATATTTTTATAATAAAAGAAGGAACATTTTAGAAGGAGTAGTTTTAAATTACTCTCTTTTTCCAGATTATGGACCCTTACTTTCCGTTCAAGAATGGATCAGTTGAGGACTTCACTATTGGATCTGAAAATTGCGACAATAAACTTGGTTATTGTAACGGCGCTCTTAAGTCGGGATCAACTTATCGAGTTAAAGTGAGAGCTTTCACTGCTCCTGATAAGTTCACGGATACCAGTTACAGTTTCGCAATTCAAACAGGTGAGAGTCAATAAAATTAGTTTTATTTTTTGTTTCCCGAGAGAAATTATTAAGTTCACGACCTTTTTGGATCTGTTATTGTTACTTTTGCTGAAGAGTAGATAATGCTCTTTTTTAAAATAAATTGCTTTCGTTGCTTTATCACTTTCTTCCATTATTTTTTTTTTAACGAGAGGAATTATTAAAAATAATAGTCGATAAGCGAGAAATGGGCGATTTAGAAAAAAACTAAGTAGAGTAGCGATGAATCTTGCTAAATTCATGCCTTATTTCGTGCACATGCCTCGCCCAAGGATTGCTGCTGGCAGGTAAGAGGGAAAATCTTGCCGGTAGCGAGTAGATAAGTAGTTGATTAATTTAAGTTAGAAATTGTAAAAAAGGACACAGTTTTTAATATCTAAGTTAATATGTTATTTTTCCGTCATGGGCAGATAAGGACAATACGGCAATAATTGTGGGAATAACAGTGCCAATTGTTTTGCTACTGGCTCTACTTGGAATCGGATTGATTGTCAGGAGGCGACGGAATCAGGGGAGAAAAACGACCGAGACACGAGCTACTGATGATCTTTCGTTGCCTGACAGTGTTATCGAAACGAGGTACCAAAACTTTTCTTATTTTTGAAAATACAATCCGCTATTCTTTCTAGCTATAATCTTCTAGAGGCTCCTAGCTTTGATCTATTATGGCTAGAAGTCTATAGAAGATTATAGATAGGAGTCTATAGAAGATTATAGCTAGGAGCCTATAGGAGATTATAGCCTCTTATGTCTGAATCTAATTTTTGTTTTTTTAGTCGACCAATTCGAGTGGAGAACTTTGCGGAGCATTATCGAATAATGTCAGCGGATTCGGACTTTCGATTTTCGGAGGAATTCGAAGAATTGAAACATGTGGGTAGGGATCAACCGTGCAGCGCTGCCGATTTGCCCTGCAATCGACCAAAGAATCGTTTTACGAATATTTTACCCTACGATCATAGCAGATTTAAATTACAACCCGTGGACGATGAGGAGGGTTCTGATTACATTAACGCCAATTACGTTCCTGTAAGTTTCCTTCTTGGCAAAACTAATTCCTTAGGGAGAAAAAACCATGTTCGTTCCCAAAATGTTCTTAGAACGTTTTTAAAACCTTTCATCAGACAAATAAGGTATGCAAACATTTTAAGAACATGGATGTTCAAATGATGTTCTAGAACCTTATTTGTCAGACATGAAACGTTCTAAAAAGGTTCTATGAACGAACATGGTTTCTTGACCAGAGGGTTGAGGTCACATGAAGCATTGATGCTCATCAAGTAATTCTCTTTTAATTTTGATAATTCGAAGTCTAAGTATCGGAAATGATGGTTTGATGATTATTTTAGGGTCACAATTCGCCGAGGGAATTTATAGTCACGCAAGGTCCATTGCATTCAACTAGGGACGATTTTTGGAGAATGGTTTGGGAGAGTAACAGTCGAGCGATTGTGATGCTGACTCGTTGCATTGAGAAGGGAAGAGAGAAATGCGATCACTATTGGCCAGTTGATACTCTTCCGGTTTATTACGGCGACATATGTGTAACAATTTTGAATGACTCTCACTATCCCGATTGGAGTATTACCGAATTCATGCTCTGCCGGGTGAGTTATTAGCAATAATTCTTTCGGCAAAAAACCATGTTCCAAAAACTTTGTTAAAACGAACAAGCATCTAAACTTGCCCGCAATATTGACAATATTGCTACAAGTTTCACAAAATTGAGGAAATGTTGTCAATGATGCTGCATGTTTAGGAGAACATGGACTTTTGCCCAGAGGGAAGAAAACAAAAAAAACAAAACACTAAAGAAGAGTAAAATCAAAACTTACTTTCAATATATTTCCAGGGCGATTCAAAGCGAGTCATTCAACACTTCCACTTTACAACATGGCCAGACTTTGGTGTTCCTAGTCCACCGCAAACATTGGCGAGGTTCGTTCGGGCATTTAGAGAACGTGTTCGTCCCGATCAGAGGCCAATTGTCGTGCATTGCAGTGCTGGCGTTGGACGTAGTGGTACATTCATAACACTAGACAGGATATTGCAACAAATTTTAGTCTCGGACTATGTCGATATTTTTGGTATTGTCTGGGCAATGAGGAAGGAGAGAGTTTGGATGGTGCAAACCGAGCAGCAGTATATTTGCATTCATCAGTGTTTGCTGGCAGTTTTGGAGGGACAGGATACCACGGGACCACCTCGGGAAATTCACGATAATCAAGGTTTCGAGGGTGAGAATCTTTTTTTCATTTTGTTTTACCATAATGGTTTGTCCATTTGTGATAATCCATTTGTCTGGAAAAATTACGTGTACTTGTTGGTGTCCATCATTTTCTCCATTAATGTGAATCCGAATTTTAGACGTATGAATATTTTCTATTTCATTTTGGGATGTGTGGTATAAAAATCTGATTATGTAATGAGGTTTAGTGTTTATTTAGCTAAATCTCTTTGGAAACGTTCTTCGTTAACATTTTCTTTGTGAATTATGATGCCAAACCTTCATCATCTTGGTGAATACAAAAAGACTCTTTGGAAAATCTTTTTCAATCTTTGTTTTTTAATTCCTGTTGTTGCTAACGACAGTTCTTGTTATCTTATCCTTGGCCACCTACTCTATGGGCAAAAAACCATGTTCGTTATAAAAACGTTCTTAAAACGCTTTTAGAAGGTTTTAAGAACGTTTTAAGAACGTTTTTTTGGAACGAACAAGTTTTTTTGCCCGTAGGGTATACCTTATGGGCAAAAAACCTTTTTAAAAACTTGGGCAGCATATAAGCAGTTACCTGTATTTGTAAATAGTCTTAAAAATACAGGTAACTGCTTATATGCTGTCCTTAAGATTTGTCCACACTTTTCTGAAAACTGTATCATTTCTGTTACAATCTCATTAGTTCGTGGCTAACATTATACAGTCAATTGCATATATGCTGGTCCTTCCAGTTTGGGAAGGATATTCATACGTCTATTTTTCTCTGACCCATATGTTTTGGAGTATTTAATAATATTGGTGACGGATCTTATAATTAAATCAAGGTGTTTGTGATTTCTTTTGCTTCGTATTATTAATTTACATACAATTTTCTTTTCTTCATCGTCCACAGTTCGATTATTTATATTTTTTAAAAAACATTCGTTGGTATTTAAAATATGTTTTTTGATATTTAAGGGCATTTGAAACATTATGACGTCACTGTTTTAGAACACTGTGAGTCATAATGGTTCAAATACCCTTAAAAATTATTTTGTAATATTTCAAAAATATTTTTTCTGCATTTTTTAGTTTTTTAAAAATGTTTTTAGTTTAGAAAATGTTTTAAGTTTTTTAAAAATCACTTTTTAAGTAGTTTTTTTTAATTATTTCTGCCTGAATAATATTTTGAGAAGAAAATTATAAAATTTTCGCGCAAAAAAATTAAGAAACTCTTTTGCAAAATTTGTTTTTCGAATCTCTGAATTTAGGAAAGAATCGAAGTTCAGTCGAAAATGCTAAGAGTCCAGGGGACGATGAAAAGGAGAGGTGACCTTCGAACTGCGAAAACTACTCCGATGGTAATAAAGTGACGCTGACGCTTTCTTACTGTGCACGCTTAATTAATTTTCCGCTTCTATGGCAATTTTCTTATAAAAAGAAATTATTTTTCCTTCATTTACTTTTATTTTAATTGGATTTTCACTTTAATATCTTTCGAGCTTTAATTTAATTTTAAATCATTTTAATTTTAATTTTTTTTCTTATTTTAACTTAATTTAAAATTAATAAATATTTGAATTTATCACTCGGTCGTCTTAGCTAAAAAATAAAACATTAAGTTGAACATTGAGTTGAGTTGAATTAATTTAAAATTAATTTTTTTAAAAATAATTTTATATATTTATATTTTCATTGTAAATTCTCTTTATTTTAGTTCAAATTTTAGTTTTAATTTTCTGCCTCTTTCTCTAATTATTTTTTATTACAAAATAAATTGTTTTCTTTCTTTTTCTTTTTTTTTCTTTTTGGGTGTTTACAAAATTGCATGAAGTATAATTAAATCTCTTTTTTCCACACGTCTTGGTGAGCGCAATATTAATCTTCAATTTATGTACATACGCTTTAAAATGTTAAAATTGTCATAATCATTAAATTAACTGCTCGTTATTTTGATGTTTTAATGCTAAATTTTTTTTTTTTGACAGAAGACGAAGATTTATTAGATTCCATATAAGTTATAGAGCATGAAATTCTCACGAATAAGCATCGAAGAACAAATATCATTAATCAACTGGTTTTTTCTTTTTGGTTCCTATTTTTTTCTATATAGATGACGAGGGAATCGCTGAGTCAGGGATGTGATAACATTTTTTGAAAAAGCTGATTTAATTCAGTCACAAGACAAGAAGGAGTAAATCACAGATTTATTCGGAAAGACGCCAATGTTGAAGAGAGAAGAAAAAAAGAGGAGGGAAGATGAGAAGAGACATTGCGGCGGAATGCGGATTAATGAAAATTTTCTTCTGTAAGGACAGGAAAGAAAATGGATTTTGATAAGAGAAGAGTCGAAAAAGGGAAGTGGGATTTTTTTTTGAAAATGTATAGCGAGAGAATTACTGTGACGACGAGAAAATGTAGAATTTTTTTTTAATTTTAATTAGAATTTCAAATTTTGAATTTTAGAATTTTTTAAGAATTAAAAAATTTTAATTTTAAATGAATTTGGAATAAAGAAAAAAAAGAAAAGAAATGCGACTGAAGAACGTGAAAAAAAATTGTACGAAAATTTAAATTTGAAATGAAATCGAATGTTTTAAAAATAGGACAGATTAGAAAGTTCGAATTTTGGAAAAAAGTTCGAATTAAAATTGAGAAAAAAAATGTTTAAATATTGAGTCGAAATGGAAAAAAAAAGAAATGAAATAACATTTAGACAAAAATATAAAATAAGAAATTCAATTTTTATTAAAAAAATAAAGAAAGCGAACGAAAATTTTACAAGCAAACAAAAATAACTTTTGAATGTATTTAAACTATAAATTTAAAAAGAGGCAAAAAACTGTAAAACAATTTTTGAGTCAATTAAAAATTTTTTCCTGTCAAATAAACAAAAAAAAAAAATAATAAAAAATAAAAATAAATTCAATGAACAGAATTTAATTAACAAAATTGAAAAAAAATGGTGAAATTTTAGAAAAAATGACTGGACGATTTTTCTTTTTGAGAGAAAAATCCACATTTTAATTTTCTGTTCCAGTTATTGATCTCAAAGTCCGTCCAGGAAATAATGTTTGTATTTCAAAGAAAAAAAAAATTGTAATCAATGACGATTTTGAAAATGAAAAAAAAATCGTTTCCGCCAAGAATCTCTTTTTACAATCGATATTTATATTCATAGAGAATAAAAAAATAAGCTTAGAAAAAAAAATCGAGTCAGTGGGAACAAGAAAACTCGCATCTTCTTAGAAAGCCATAACCATATCATCTCCCTTGTTTAATGGATTTTTATAAAAGAAAATAATAATGATAATGCAGAAAATAATTTTCTGGGCTTCCAATTTTTCAATTTTCTCTTTATATTTTCTATAATTAAACGAGGGAAAAATTTTTTTTATTGAAAATCCATTAAATAAGGGGGAATTCTAGATTCTTGTACTTAATTTTTTTAAAGTGTACAGAGACAAATAAAGTACACGAAATTGTATAAAAAAAATAATTGTGAGTCGCATGAATATTCATTAAATCTGCGATTATTTTGAATTTCGGGAGAGATTTTTATTTAGAGGAAAATTTCTCTTTTAGATTTTTTATTTGACCAAATTTTCGTTAAACTAACATTAAAATAAAAAAAAAAAATTCACTTTTTTTCCTTTTATTTAACACTTTTTCTTAACGAAACAGTAATACAGCGAAATTTCCAATTAATATAATTTTAATTAGGCTGAAATTTTCATTAACAGATTTTTATTTCGACGCAATTTTTATTTAAGAAAATTTGTCGTTTTACACCATTTTCTGATTTAGCCAAATTCTATTTGGTGAAAATTTTCGCCAAATAAAAATTTCATTAAAATTAAAAATTAAAATTGAAATTAAAAATTCTCGTTAAGTAAAAATTCTATTTAATTAAAAGTCAATTAAATTACAGAAACTAATTTTTGAATTCTGAAAATTGGAAAATTCGGCTTAATGAAAATTTGATTTAATGAAAATTATTTTTAAAGCGAAAATAATTCTTTTTTTTAGTGAATTTTCATGTGATCTTGAAATTAGCGTCTATTGTTAATCGTTAATCGTTAAAGCTTGTAAAGAATCTCGCGAGATGAAATCAATGAGCTTGTGCGTGTGAATGTGTGTTTTTTGGAAAAAAAGAAGAGAGCGAATGTGATACTTTTTTTTTCTTTTTTTAAAAAAAAAGTATTTGCGTATTTTTCGGGTGCGTCTTTTTTCAAATTTCACTTTTTCTGATACTTCGATTTTTTTTCAATTTGGAAAAATTTTTTTTGCTCCTTTTTTACCTTTTTCTTTCATTATTTTAATTTTAACATTTTTGTTATTTCTTAGTTTTTTTATTTAATATTGAAAATAATTTTTTACTATTAAAAAAATGTTTTAATTTATTTTTTTACTTTTTATTTAATTTCTTCACTTTTTTATTTAATTTCTTTACTTTTTTATTTAATTTCTTAATTTTTTCATTTAATTTCTTCACTTTTAAATTTAATTTTTTTTCTATTTTATTTATTTTCTTCATTTTTTCATTTTTATATTTTATTCATTTATTAATAAAATTATTAAAATTTAAAAAATTAATATAACAATTTTTACTTTTTTTGTAATAAAAACTTACAAAACTTTCTCTGCGTGAGAAAGCAAAATTGCAAATATCGTTTAGAGTGAAATTTTCGAAGTAAATATTTTTAACGCCCCTTTTTTGTATTCTTAAACGCTTAAAAATATTCCCGATCTCAGAGATCGCGGATGAAGACTATATATTATATATATAAAAATATATAAATATATAAATATTATTATATATATAAACATTTGTAAATACTGTATTTTACCGAGAATTTTTATTATTATCATTGTTATTGTTATCGCAGCATTTTATTAATAATATTATTACCGATTATTGATATTATTACGGCTCCGATTTTTTTTATGTATTTTTTTTATTTTTTTTTCGAAAAGAATTTTTTTTCTTCACCTCGACATATCAGCTCATGGGATTTTTTTCCGAAACTCGAAAATCATATAAATTAATGTATAAATATAGCTATGTATAAATAATTAATTATTATTCATTGAAACAACTCGCCATCTGAAGATAAACCTAATTATTATTTTTTTCCATATAATTATTATAATTCCAAACACTGTAGGCTTATGAAAAAAAATTATGTATTAACCGATAAGCGCTTGTTGTCGGGGATGAAAATTTGAGAAAGAAAATTTGTATTATTAATTATATATAAATATATATATTTTAATTAATTTGGCGCAGCGAATTTAATTCAAAAATATATATTATTATGTGAAAAGAGGGGGGAATTTTGAATCTCAAAGTATTGTGTGAAAACTTCGAACAAATGCGGTTTTTTTTTTAAATGAGTATTTTTTTAAGAATATCAAGAATTAATTTAAAAAAAAAAATTTGAATCAATTTTAAGTTACTCTGTGATAAAAATTACGATCGATTATAAGTGCGTTTGTCTCGAATCGATTTCGCTGAAGAAATTTTTTTTTAAAATCGCAGTTTTCAATAAAAAATTTTTTAACAAGAAAAAATATTTATTCACAAGTAAATTTTTTTTCACATGTGAATTTTTTATTAAATAGAGTATTTACACTTACACAAATTCTTTTTAGGAAAAATATTAAAATTCAGAAGTTATAAAATAATTTGTTTATGCTTTGTAATTAAATTTTGGTTCCAATAAAAAAGAAAAAAAAATTGCAATTTTAAAAAAGTTAACAATTTCCAACTCGTCGAATTTATTATATATTTATTTTACTTTGAAAAAATATTAACTAAGTTGCAAAATTTGATTAAAATCAAAAAAATGTTTCCGAATAAAAAAAAAGATTTATTTTCTCGCAAAAATTTACTGTATTTTTTTGGAATTTCTTTTTTCAAAACTGAAAGAAATTTTCTTCAGCGAAATCGAAATTTAAACAGATTTGATAAATGTAATTTAAAAAAGCGAGCTTTATGTGCTTTTCGTGTTTGTACTCAACTTTGATAAAATGAAGAGGAAAAAAAAATGTGAAAAATTTCGACGTTAGATTTTGAAGTTTTCTTTTTTCATAATGTAACCGCCGATTTCAGGGTAGAATTTTTAAGATGAACTTAAAAGAGAAATTAAAATTAATTGACAATGTCAATTTATTATTATTGCCGAGAGAAAAAAATTGAGTCAAATTGTCACCGAATTTTGAGAAAAATAGATTTTTTTAAATAGGGTAATTGTTCATTTTTTTCCTCCTTGTGCTCCCGGTACTTTTTTTTAGATTACAAATCGATTTCAATTTCTTTTCTCTTTTAATTTAGTGCTTTTTGAAAAATTTCCACTCTTTTATTTTTTCAATATTTATACAACTTCTTAAATTTCAAAAATAACAAATTAAATCTTTTTTCAGTTTAAAGTTTGTAATTAATTTTTTATCTTAATTTGTATTTTAATTTTTTAAACTTACATATTTGCATTATGGATTTAAAAAAGAAATTTAATTTTTCTTCATTATGTAAATAATTTAAAATAAGTCATTTTTGCAATTTTCATGCAAATTTATTCATGCAATTTCTGTGATTTTTTCTTTTTTATTTTTTTTAAGTTCCCAGGTGTGATGAATCAAAATTGGTAATTTTTCAAAAAAAAAAAAAAAAAAAAAAGTGAAAAGAAGAAGCGACGCTATGGAATTTCAGATGTCGATGAAGTTGGATCGTGTGTCAGTGGTGTCGACTTTTTTATGACCGATAATCTAGACGGAGAGCTTGAAAGGCTGGAAATAATCCTCGTCGCTAAACTTGTCCTTGACGTTGGATGAGAATCTTTAGATTTTTCCTCAGCAGCAGCAGAAGAAGAACGAATATTTGGCTCTGCCGGTGTCTTTTCACTTTTTGACTGTCGACCTGTAAAATTATTGTCATTATTAATAATTATTATAATTTTTAATTGTTAATATTGTATAGAATAATTAAGAAATCGAAAAAGAAAATCAAAAATTGAAGTAAATAATTTTTTTTACGATAAATAATAACTATTAGCGTCGTTGTTCTTTGAGTGCGACTGAAGAAAAGTGCGCGCGCAGTCATCGAGGAGTGGGGAGTAGTGACGCCATCCCCACTCCTCAATAGCTGCGCGCGCACTCGCGTTCCAAGAAAAGACGCTATCCCCACTCCACAATAGCTGCGCGCGCACAAACTCGCGCTCCAGGAAAAAAAACGCTATTCTGTTTATTACCGGAAATAGTAATAATAATAATAAAAAACTTATTATATAGTTATAATAATAATTAAAAATAAATAGTAATAGTATTAATAATGATAATAATAACATAAGTAATAATAATTGTTTTAATAAATAATACTAATAAAAATAAATAGTAATAGTATTAATAATGATAATAATAACATAAGTAATAATAATTGTTTTAATAAATAATACTAATAAAAATAAATAGTAATAGTATTAATGATGATAATAATAAACAGTAGTAGTAATAATAGTTTTTAAAAATAATAATTATTAATATGATAAAAAATCTTTTTTACCCTTTATTTGTGAGATGACTTTAGAAAATACACGACGTATTGGATCGAGATCGTGTTTGGAAATTTTTTCATCATTAGTGAATTTTGTTTTTTTCGTTAATTTCGTTGACGAATGACCAAATAATCTCCTTGGATTAATATCATGATCCATGAGTTTAAATACTCTACCAAGTGAATTTGTTTTCTCTTTAGATAAAGCAGGCTGATCATAGGGGTGGAAAATTGTTCTTGTTTCCTGCTTATACATATATACATATATAAAAATTTCATTATTTATTGAATTCAACCATTGGATAAGGAAGTGATGATGGTAAATAATGTATTTCGTGATAAATAATAAATTGCTCCTTTCAACTTTGCTTTCAAACATTCACTCTTTTTTTTCAACTCAATTTTACTTTCAACTTTGAGTCGTCAATATTTTATTATTCCTCAAGTAAAATGGATTTGACGACTTCTTTGAATATTACATTTTTTTCTTTTTCTTTTTAAGTTACTTTGGAATAAGATTGTTTTACAAATTTTTATTTGTTTATTTAAATATTTATTTATTACTCGTCTTTTTATGTATTTTATTATTTATTTTATGATTATTGTTCGTGAATTGTTATTATTTATTTATTTTCAATATTTATTTAGTTAATATTTATTTATACTTAGTATCAATTTAGTTATTTGTTTATAAATTATTATTTATTTATTTATTTATGAATTGTTACTATTTATATATTTTATCCTTTATTTATTTTTATTATTTATTTATTAATAATTTATTTTACTATTTTCTCATAAAGTGTTAATTATTTTGTTATTATTTGTTAATAAATTTTCACTGTTAACTTTATCATTAATTAAAAACTTTTAATTATTTATTTGTTTAAAATTTTTAATTATTAATTTATTTGGTATAACATTTTTTTGAAATAATTGTAATAACAAAAAACTGGAGTGATTTGAAAAAAATGTTCATTTTAATAAAACTTAAAAATTATTATATTGGAAAAAGTGACAAATAAAATAGAAATGCGCAATTTTTGTTTTGTTTCCAACAATATGCATATATAGAGAAAGATAAAATAACTATTTAAATTAGAGTTGAAATGAAATAAATCATATTAACTACATTTTCATTTTGCTCCTTGTTTTTCGTTTCAGTTTCACTTTGATTTGAATTTGTCGATTTGATTTTAAGCATTTTTCCCATTCTGTCAAGTGTCATACTTTTGAAATTACGTTTCGGTTTTTCGGGAATGTTTATCGATTCATTTAATTCTCGATTTTCCATTAAATATTCTGGCGCTGATAGAGAAGGAGAAAAGAATTTTTTTTTCACAAAAATTATTTTTAAATAAGTAAAAATTTTTTTTTATTATAAAATATTTTTTTTAAATGATAAATTATTTTAATAATTTGCAATATTAATTACTTTTTAAACCTGTGGAATTTTTGAAAATTCCCTCTTCGCTGATGGAATTCGTTTCTTTAAGATTGTCCTTTAATTTTCGATGCGAATTTTCCGAAGGAAGTGAATTCTGAAATTGAAAAGAAGAAATTAAAATAAAAAATAACTAAAACGTAATTTTTATTGAGAGTAGACTTTTATTTATTTCTCACCTGGTTTTCAAATCCATTGGCCAAAATTTCGTCCTTGCTATAAATTTTTATTCATTCATAAAGAGAATAGAGAATGGAGCGTAGACCAAGGAGTGGGGGCAATAGGAGTGAAAGAGAAAAACTGCGATGTCTCTGTCGCTCTCGTTGCCCCCACTCCTGAGTTTCGGCCGCACGGCCCGCGCAACTATTTAATTTAAATAAATTAATATGAACGTAGGAATAAAAATTTCTTGTTCATAATAAAAATTAAATAAAAAATACTTCATTTGTTTATTTATTTATATCATTTTATAAATAAATTTATATTTTCAATTTTTTATTTTTTATTTGAATATTAGATTTTTGTTCACAATTTATAAATAAATTTTTGTTTACAATTTATAAATAAATTTTTATTTGGAATTCATAAATAAATTAATAAACGAACAAAAAGAAAGAAAAAAAAGGAAAAAAATTTTCGTTAAAATAAAAAATTTAACAAAAAATTAGAAATTTGCAATAAACTATAAAAGATGACAAAAAAAATATACCTTTTAGATGGAAAGGAAATTTATTTTTTTGTTGAGTTATTAGCGAAACATTTGCGGTGATAAATAGTTTTGACGCCTACGCACCTGTCTGAATTTTTCTTTCCCAAAATGCTTTCAAGGATATGATCCTTGAAAGGATTTTTGTTCTTTACTTCCCTTTCGGTCATTTCTTTTTTTTCTCTTTATTTTATTTTCCTTTATTTTCACTCTTTCAAGTAGACAGAAATTTCCTTTTTCTCTCCAAAAAAAGTTCAACGAACCTTATCGTTTTTCCTTTAACAAAAATTTACTTTTCTTTGGTTTAATAATTCTTTTTTAATTTTGTACTTTATGAAATTTCAAAATTTTTTCATTTACTCTTCTAGATTATTGTTAAATAATTATACAATTAGAATTGAGGATTTAATTATAAAATGTTAGAAAATATTACTCGGATGTTTTCAGTCATCGTTTATTGACATATTTGTGTTTTTCCCTGAGAAGTTGTTTTCTCGTTTCTTTTGTTTTCTTTTATTTTTGTCAACGCTCTATTTAGAGAAAATTTCTCATTCAGAATTGTTGAAATTTTTATTATAAATTAATTTTAATTTGTTAATACGAAGAAATAGAATTAAAGAATAAAATAAAATTTGACGGGAGACAAAAAAGGAAAATTTTATAAAGAAATATTTTGACAGTTTTCATTTCATGAAAACCTAGAATCTCTGTAGAAAGTAAAAGAACCGGAAATGAAATCATAAGTCATGAAATAATTCGGGAATAATGGTAACGCCTTCAGCGTATAACTGACTTGAATATTGGCATGTGGATAAAATTTGTGTCTCCTCTATTCCGCCCCCTCAATTTTCGGTCCAAGTTCCTCGCATTTATATCTATCATCATATATTTCACCTTCCTTTTTAGGTATAAAAGTGAATCAAAAACTCGCAAATGTCCATTTTGATTTAAAGTTAAATGTAATAAATGCCTCTTTTTCATCTTGGATTTCGTCTTTTTTTCCTTTCTTATATTTTCTCTTTCTTCTTACCCCTCTCCTCCTCTCTTTTTTTTCATTGTTATTTTGTGTTTTCTTTCCTCGTTAATCGACTTTTAAATTATAGAAAGTCTTGTATTTTTCAAGTACAAATATAATTTTTTTTCTGAAGCTAAATCACTTTTCAAAGCTTACCGCACTTTTTTTGACATCATTCGTCAGGATGAGATTATATGAAGTTATTAGTAATAAAAAATATAATAATAATAATATTAATAATAAACTTGCAATTTTACATAGAAATCTACTTTACCGAGCGTCGGTAACAAGGTTTGGTTCCTATATAAGCCGCAGTGACATCGGCGCTCCGCGAAATCTCTCTCGCAATCAACATGAGGCAGAGAAAGTATATAAGAACAGCGAGAGAATTTAGAGTGGGGGTAACATTCACTACTCTCTATTGATCCAAAATAATCTTATTTGAAGAAGAATTAAATTTCCTCACTGGTTTTCAAATCATGAATTTTCAGTTTTTTTAAATTAATTCCTCGTCATTTTTGCATAAACAGAGTTTTCCTTCCTTCTCGCATAATTTAGAACATTTTCAACGAAAAAAAATGTCCTTAATGATAAGTTTGCATAATCCTTTGAATATCATTTTTTTCCTTTTTGGTAGGAGTTCTTAATTTCCTTTGAAAATAAACTAGACGGTCCATTAAATCTTGAGCATATATCTGATAATTATATATATAAAAATAATAAATTTAAAAATAATAAATAAAAATTAAAATTAATAAATAGAAAAATTAAAATTAATAAATAGAATAATAACTAAAAATTGAAAAATAACTAAAAATGAGAAATTGAAAATTAATTAAAAGAAATAAATATAAAAGTTAAAAATAACTGAAAAATTTATATTTTTAATGTAGAATAATATAATATTTCATAATATTCATTTTCTATAAAGATCATTTTTGGAAAATTATAAAACCAAATTTTATTCACTTTTTTGTATAAATTAATCCGATTTTCTCTCTTGTATTTTCTGTCAAGTTGCTTCATTATTAAACATTACCATCAAAATTTCTCTTATTCTCTCTTAACTTTTCTACAATTTCGACTCTAGTCAGAATTGTTTTTTTCCGGTTCAAGTATCCTCTATACGCTTTCAACATAATAGCCAACTAATTGCTTTAAAATTCCAAATCGAGAAATTAACATTGTCTCGAGTGCACTTGACCTGGCAGATTTAGAATCGTTTTTAAGTTGATTAAAATAAAGATACATTGAAAGAGAAAAGTATACTTTAAGTTCGAATTAAATTTTTCCTTTGTATCCACTAGTCGTGAATTATTTTTTTTCTACTTTATTCTACAGATGCTATTTTATATTGTAACTATAATCATAACTGAATTGTGGATTTGTAGGTACATGATATTTTTAAATTATTTTGTTAATTAATTTTTTTTCGAAAAAAGAAATCGTTACCTTATCAAAGTTTAAATGTCATTAAACATTAGATAGGAGTTGGCAGTCGTTGACTTACTTTTCTGACAGGTGTTCGTGCTAAACGCAGAGCCTGCCGCCGTTAGTAATGGGCTTTACTTGTTAATTGAGCGCAGAGGGTAAAAGCGTCTGGCAAAAGACAACTATCTCCATACCAGAAATAGAGATGAGTGAGAGAGGGGGAATTTGATTTCATCATTAATTCAACAATACTGGTTATAAATGATTGTTTTTTGGCGATATTTTTGGTGCAGTATAAACAATAGGAAAATTTAATACCGTGATGACTTTCCGTCGTTAACAGTGTAATAATTCATGTTTTTTTTTCATGAAATGTGTGTGTTTGTTGAAAAATGGAAGAAATTGTACGTGATTTGTGATGATTCTTCTTGACATTTGACCCTCTCTTGGAAAACGGAAAACAAATAGAAATTAGTTGCTCTTATACACAAACGAGTGAAATATATTTGGAGAACGATACAAATTTCTGAAAGTGACAGGAAGGATTGATATGTTTCAGGCGATGGAGTTAAAGTTTGCCCTTATAGTGAAACAGAAACCGTCCCTCCTCTTTAAATCTATCTATCTCTCTTGAAGGACCTCTAGTATGCACGAGTGCCTTTAACCAGGCCAGCCGTGGCCTTTTCCTCCCTGTGTTTGGTTTAACAACAACCAAAGCAAATCGCTAAAGTGGATAATTTCAATTTATGGTCATATCGAATTAGATGGTACTTCCAAAATTGCTCTAATTAATACACATAAGCTTCGATTTTTAGTTTTAAAATTGCTAGATTTCTAATTATCTTATTTTTTCTGTCTCAGATGCTGTAGAGGATTAGTCAACAAAAAAGGGTTGTTTTTAATAAAGATAAATCGTAAAATTCTTAAAAGAAGAAGTCCACAAAATTGTTAACCATAACAATTTCTGATGCACAACAAAAATGAAGAAGAAAAGAAAAGGATCGTACTTTGTTTTTAGTTCTAAAATTTTAATTACTTTATTGTCTTCTGTTTCAGATGCTGCAGAGGATTCGTCACCAAAAAGGGTTGTTTTTTAATAAAGATAAATCGTATAAAACTGTGTTAAGAAGAAAAGTCAACAAACAAATTTTTGACTGGTGTTTTAGAATTATTAGAAAGAATATCAAAAAAAAGGTTGTTTTTTAATAAAGATAAATCGTAAAATTCTGACAAGAAGTCAACAAACGAATTTCTGACACCAAAAAAGGGTTGTTTTTAATAAAGATAAATCGTAAAATTCTGCCAAAAAGTAAACAAACGAATTTCTGACCGACCAATGTTTTGGTAATGTACGAAATACAAAATACTAAGAGAAGAGATTCCTTTTTAAACACGAAAAAAAAAATTCCTGAATTCCTATCGTGTGGAAATATGTCTCTGATTCTAATGAGGATAAGCTATTACGAATATGGTATTTGTTGATAACCAAGAAAGCTTCAGGCGTATCTCGTACTTTGAATAGCAGGCCAAAGTCCAATTAAGCAATTTGAACAATAGATGATCAGCATTGATCTCATTAATAGTCACATTTCTTCCACCGTTATTGACATTCACAATTGAAAGATTGTGTTGGGTATTAGTGACATTATAGGGAATATATTCCAAACATGAGAAATCCAACCGAATTATATCGTTAATTTGTTGGAATTAATTGTTTAATTAATCCAATTGTTGTAAAGCTTCGCCTTTTTGATTAAGATTTTATCTTTAAAAGTACATTATTTTTTATCATAGAAAAACAACTATGAAGAGAAACAAGGAAAGAGGTAATTTTTTCATATCTTTTTTCTAATAACATGCTCAAACACTCTTCCAGTCTGCGAAAGCGGATTTAATATAATTTATTTAAAAAATTAATTGCACACTGGAAAAACCGCAATATTCTTTTTTTTATCTCGCCTTTTTTTCGCCGGAAGTTATATCAGTGGCGCGGAAAGAACTGGGGTTAATTTTCCGTAAATCGCTCTTTTTGCGAAACTAGCGAACCTCACGCTCTTCACATTCTGCTACCTACTGATCTGAAATTGGAGGATAGTGTTCTAATATATATCACATTTTCATGATTTATTTCTTTCGTTTAGATATTCGTTGTTTATTTTTAGAATAATAATAATAATAATAAATTATATTTTACACGTGTTGGAAATTATTTATACTTATTAAAACGCTTCAATCTATAGAATATCTGAGGAATTGTATTTTCTTTCTTAAATTTGACGATGGAACGTAAAATTAATTTTTCCAAATTTTTTTTGTCAGTAGAAGATGCTTTTTGTTAATATTTTACGATTTACTTTCATTACAAACAACCTTTTAAAAGATGAATCTTCTGCATACGATTTGAAACAAAAATAGGAACCAATAAACAAAAATTAACATATCTAGAATCTCAAAATCCAACAAACCGGAGTGAAGCCTTTTGATGAAACTTTGTGAAACTCCCGATGAAACCAATTTCTGCTTCGAACTCTCATCACGGCTGAAGGTAAATAATACTTTTTCAATATTAGTGTATCAATATCAAATCATAGAAAACTAATCACAAGTATAGTAGATAAAGATAATACTTTTTTTAAATCTCTAAAGTAAAGTGATGTTTTTGAGAAAAATAGTGTAAAGGCAATTATTGAACAACACTTGAATGAAAATTTAGCTACCAGAGAAATGCGTTGCAGGTGTGCTACTGAGAGTAATAAATTCCGAATAGAACAAAATGTTGGCAGAGAAATATATATACGTATATAGAAATGTGCACAAGCCTCGAAGCAATTGAGTAAAATAACAAGTATCAATGTACATAGTGAAACCTATGAGCAACACTCGGTGCTACAAAGCGCACCCAACCCTTTTCAATCGATCGATTCGAACAATCAATTTTCAGAACTCGGTAACTAAGCCAAAAGGTGTTCATTATTATGCTTGTATATACTTCTTGCTAAAGTGAGAAAATATCTTCTTAATAACAATATCACATACTTCATAGCTTGCAAGTAAGGTTGAATAATTATTATTATATGACTTCAGGTATTCTTGCATAATTTTAACCAGAGAAATAATTAAAACAACTGCTGAATAATATTTGCACTGAGGATTCTTTTTTAGTCTTTTGAAAAGCGGAAAGAAGAATTTTGCATTTTGATTCTTAAATTCTCGTTGATTTTATTTTTGTTAGTATTTTATACGATTTATCTTTATTAAAAACAACCTTTTTTTAATAATGAGTTCTCTGTAGGTTCTGAAACAAAAAGAAAAGAAATTAAATACTTTTGCTCTTTTTAATATTACTAGAACACTGTCAGTCTGAAGTTCGTTTGTTGATTTTTCTTACTTGTAACAATTTTACGATTTATCTTTATTACAAACAACCCTTTTCGATGCTCTTTCTAATATTACTAAAACACTGTTAGAAATTCAATAGTGATTTTTAATTTTGTCAATAAATATTTTACCTCCAATAAAAGCGTCTGCTCAATACTATTGTCATTGACGTAAACTAAAGTCGGACTTACACAATATGCTAAAGGTCCATCCACATGAAAATAAACACAATGCAGCTGGAACTAAAACAATTGGCGCCAAATTTAAAAAGTAATTTCTAAAATTCTGTTTCTTATTAAACAAGTAAAATTAAAAATAAATAAAAACAAATAAAACATATAAAAATAAATAAAACAAATAAAAAAAATAATTAAAAATCTAAAGAAAAACTCTCACTATAAAATAAAAAAAATTATTTTCCTCAACAAGAAATTTCAAATTTTAAATATAAATTTTTTTGCCGTTGACAATTTAACGGTGAATAAATTTTCAAGTATTCCTTCACACACTTGCTTCTCATTTGAAGATTTTCGCACATCATTTTCAAGCATATATTATTATATATACATATATATATATATATACATACGTATATATACGTTATTCGATTTTGTCATCTATTTTCCATTCGAATGAAAATTCAAATGTTGTTTACACTCGAGTATATATGGATCAGATTGGAAATTTCGTTAAAAAGTCCAATTTGATGCAATCACAAGAGTTGACGGAGACGTGATGATTTATTATATATATAATATAAACAAAAAGAGAAAATTTGACAAAATATTTTTTCAAATAGTTTTTTATCTTTTTTTTCTATTTTCCAATAAATAGGGGAGGGGGGGGGTGAAAATTGGGGCTAACCAGAAATAGGAGAGGAATGAAAGGGAGTAAAAGGCTAGTGTAGAAATACGATGGATTGGAATGATAAGAGAGGTGAGGGGGTAGAAGAGGGGGGAGGGTAAAGAAAAGAGGGATGGCAAGGGGGGATGAAAAGGGAGGAGGGTTGAACAGGGAGTGAGTTATTTGAAGGAGAAAGGATTGTGTGTGCGGGGTGGTTAAACCGTGCAGACGATTCACGTCGGCTTTAGTCAGCGTCCAGTGTTCGTCGCGCGCGCATTTCGTTTGAATCTACGTTGAGCTCTATCACTAAAATCAAGCAAATTTTTTCTTCTCAATATATAATGTATTAACTAAAAAAAAAAATTTTTTTTTTTGAATTTCGATTTGTAAAATAATGGCAAATTTAGAAAAAAATTTCTAACTTTGTATATTAAATTTTTTATAAAAGATTATTTTAATTTAATTTAATTAAAATTTAATTTAAATTACTTAAAATTTTTTAATAACAAATTTAAATAAAATTTTTATATTCAATTATTATTATACGATCAATTATCGTATGTTTTTAATAAAGAAATACGAAAATAATTTTTAAAAATTCCAAATAAAATAAAAAATATTTAAAAAAAAACTTTGTTAATAAGATAGTAATTGAAAAAATTATTTTCTTTTAAATAAATTTAAAATATTTCATTTTTTGTTCCTGTGGAACAAAATAAAATTTTATTAAACAAATAAATTGGAATTTAGTTGCGATATTTTAATTTTACGAATTTATAAATAAAAAGGAAATTTGGATTTAGTAATAGACATTTTTAACTAATAGAAAGAATAATAAAAATTACATATAATATTAATTAAAAAAAGTTTGAATAAAATATTTTGTAAATAAAAAAAGCGTTACTAGTAAATAAAAATTTGCAGCAAATGCAAATTTGAAAAAATAAGATAAATAAATAATAAATTAATTAATTTTGATTAATAAATAAAATTTTAATTAATTATTAATTAATTTGTACAGACAGTAAAAGCTTAAATAAAAATATTATTAAATAAAAAAGTTTTACTAAGTTGGAATAGTAGGTTTACTAAGTAAATTGAACTTAGTATAAAATGAAAATTTCTATAGATAACATAATGGATTGTTAATAAATAATAAATTTATGAATTTATAATTTAATAAAAATTTATAAATAATTGTATGTATAAATAAATAATATAATAATGATAATTAAGAGACCTTAAAATTAATGAAAGTTTAAATAACAAATTTTATAAATGAAAAAGGTTTGAGTAAGTGAATAAAAATTTGCATAAATAAGATATGTAATTAATTAATTAATTAATTAACTAATAAAAGTATAAATAAAAATTGTTCAGTTAAAAAAGTTTTATATATAAATATTTGTATAAAATGAAAATCTTTTTTGAATAAATAATTATGAATTAAGTAAATAATAAACTAAATGAATAATAATTAATATATTAAAGAAATAATGAATTAAATAATGAATTAAATGCATAATTTAAATAATTTTTTAGTTATAAATTTTTCATTTCAGTAAAATGTCATAAAAAAATGATAAAATGATGAAAATTACCCTTCAGAGAAATAAAAAGAAAACAATTTGGAAATATTAATTTTTATCGTTCGGTCGTTTTTAATAACAAAACCTGAAGATAACAATTTACTGACCAAAAAAGCGATAAATTTTTTTTTTAAATGTATTGATTGAGAGCGTGAATGGCGAGTATATGGTGGAAAGTTTCATTTGACTGCATTCGATATTTGAAAAATGATCTCGTTCTTTTCCTTTCTTGTTTTTTTTTATTTTTTTTTTCGGTGATAAAGCTACTAAAAAGGACAAAGTTTATTCCTTTTAATTAGAGAATTAAAAATGACTTTGACCTGTTTTATTTTCCGAAAAAGGAACAAAAAAGAAGTTTAGGTTCTAGGATGTTTCAATTAGTCATCCTTTCGAAATTATAGGCTTTGAACTTGACAAAGTGGACAGTGCAAGTAAATTTTGTTCGAACAGAAAGGAAGAACTTTTTCGAAAAATAGCAAATAAAAAAGAAAGAAAATTCTTTCTCTTTTTTTTCCTTTAATGAAATGTCATTGTATATGACAATTGACTTTAATTAAGGAGTAAATAAAATTTATTTTTCAATTTTCTTCTTTTTTCATTTCCAGTTTTTCAAACTTTATACAAAATTTGCTATATTTCTAGAAATAAAGAAATTTTCATTTAAATTCGAATCACAGAATTTTTTTTTCTTTTGCATTTATATAGAAAATTTTTAAAAGAAACTTGATTTAGATTATTCATATTTCAGTGTTATTTTTCTCTTTTGAAAAAAAATTTTTTTCCCTATTTTTTGTTTTTCTCTCTGGTTGGAATATAAATATTTAATATTTTCGGAAAACAGTTTTCAAGATTAATAAGTTATATAAATATAAAGGAGAGAGAGAGAGAGAGAGAGAGAGAGAGAGAGAGAGAGAGAGTGAGAGAAAGGAAGTAATAATTGCTTCGAAGTAATCAGGGAACTAAACAACTTGTCTTTGAAGAACGAATTGACACATCTCTATCTTTGTCCAATGTCCAGGTTCCGTCTTATTCCTTTGCTCGAATCTCGAAAACTTATCAGAAAGTTAAAACAACTTTTAATGAGCCTTCCGCACTTTCATACAATATCATTAAAAAATTAATACTGAAAAAATAAGAAAACAAGATGAATTAAAAATTTTTTTTAATACAGAATTTTTTACTATTGCAAAATAATTTTTTCTTCTATTTACTAAATTTTTTTTCTATTTACGAAATATTTTTTCAAGTTTTTAACACAATTTTTCTAAGGATATGAAATTGAGACAAAATCAAAACGTATTTTGTCTCAATTTGATATTCCTACTGCAGGCACTAAAGAATCAAAATTACCATAAAGTGCAAGTTCTCTGGAATTAAATTATCATAAAGTGCATCTACTGAAGAATTAAGTTCCCATAAAATGCAATTAGGAAATATTAAATTATTCTAAAGTGCAAATAGTAAAGAATTAAATTACCATCAAGTGCAACTACTGAAAATTAAAATAACCATAAATTGCAACATTTTTCTCTTAGCAAAACAACCATAAAGTAAAATTAGCATAATGTGCAACTGCTAAATATTGAAGTTACCATAAAGTGCAAATATTAAAGAATTAAATTACCATAAAGTGCAACTACCAAAGAATTAAAGTAGTAAAAAGTGCAGCTATTCAAAAATAAAATTACCATAAAGTGCAACTACTGAAAATTAAAATAACCATAAATTGCAACATTTTTCTCTTTGCAAAACAACCATAAAATGAAATTAGCATGATGAGCAACTACTAAATATTGAAACTACCATAAAGTTAAACTACTAAAGAAATAAAATTACCATAAAGTGCAACTATTGAAAAATGAAACTACCATAAAGTGCAAATACTAAAAAAATGAAATTATTATAAAGTGCAACTAACAAAGAATTAAATTATGAAAAAGTGCAGCTAGTAAATAATAAAATTACCATAAAGTGCAACTATTAAAAAATGAAATTACCATAAAGTGCAACTATTAAAAATGAAATTACCATAAAGTGCAAGTAGTAAAGAGTGAAATTACTGTAAAGTCCGGCTACTATATTTACCATATACAGAAAAACTATCATAAAGTACCTACATTTACCATAATGTGCAATTACTAAAGTTTAAAATTACCATAAAGTGCAACTACTAAATATTAAAATCACCATAAAGTGCAGCTACAGTATTCAGTATTAATAAAAAATCACCAAATCATAAAAAAAACTACCATAAAGTGCAAAAGATACTAAGGACTGAATTTTTTATTTTTATTTATTGTTTGATTTATTTTTTATTTTTTAGTTGTGCCAATGATTTCTCAGAAAAACTATGATAAAATACAAAAAACGCATCAGAAAAAATTAATTCTAATGCAACATTCCCCCCCCCAAAAAAAAAAAATTATAATTTTATTAGAAGAGTGAGAGAGAGAAAGAGAGAAAAAAAAATTTTTCTTCTTCTTTAATCGAGTTTGAGTGGCAATGAAATCACTTGGATTTTAATGGTAATCGAATTGGTTTTGTACAGAGCATAGTATAGCGTAGCGTCGCCCCATCTTCTTGATCGGGAAAGTTTCCTAATAATTTTGACACGTACTTTTTTTCCTTTCTTCTTTTTTTTTCTACCTTCTCAAGAAGTTTTCAAACCGCGAGAAGAGAAGACTTCTCTCCTCTCTTTCTTATAAAAACGAATTATCGGACAGAGAACCCATTTTGTTCTATAAATCATTCAGATAAAAAGTTTTGCCCGAATTCGAAGAGCTCAAACTTTTCTAAGCAAAAAAAAAAAAAAAAATAACAAAAAAATATGAAAAAAAATGAAAAAAACGCATCTTACTTTAACAAATCAAGTGATAAACTGCGCATCAAAAAATAAAAAGGGAGGAAAAAAAATTTATGACACGCAATATTTTTGATAAAAAAAATTCCAATTTTGAAAAATAAGAAAAAAGGGAAATGAAATAAAATAATAATAAAAATAATAATAAAAATAATAATAAAAATAATAATAAAAATAATAATAATAATAATAATAATAATAATAACAATAATAATAAAAATATTCATAATAATATTATAAATAATAACACAAGTAATAAATAAATAAATAAAATAATAAATAAATAAATAATCAACAAAATAAAAAACTGATTATTTGTAAGATTTTTTTTGAAAAAATTCAGAATTCTATATCTAAATAATGAAAAAATAAACTAAAAAAAATTTATTTGTTTCAAGCAAATATTTATTTGATAATAAAAAAAGAATTGGCTATTTGAATCAAAAATAAATTTTTTTCCAATGTAGAAGCTTCTAATTTTTTTAAAATTTTATAGATATAAATTAAAATAAATTAAACTGACAATCATAATTACGCATAATGAAAAGTGGAAAACTTTAAAGAAAAGTGTAAAAAAAATGAAGAATCGAACTATAAAAAAATTTGCATAATTAATTAAGGGACAAAAAGCAAAAAAAAAAAAAAGAAAATTAAAAAAGATGAAAAGTTTCGTTAAAGATATTAAGTAATCTTCTAAAAGTGAAAAGTAATTATAAACCGTAAAAGCCCAATAAAAATTTTATAAAAAAGAAAAAAATTTGATACTTAAAAAAATGGAAAAAATTTCCAACAATGAAAAAAAAGTAATCGCGAACTTTCTACAATAAAGTAAATGAAAAAAAACATTAAAAATAAAAATTATTAACTTCTACTAATAGTTTATCGTAAAAAAAGACAAATTTACTCAGCTCATTAATAATAAACATATATAGTGACAAAAATAAAATTAAAATAAAAGTAAAATAAAGTGAAATAAACAAAAATTCAAATTAAAAAAAAATAAAAGAAATTTAGGATAAAAGTATAATATAAAAGAAAATTCAAATGAAGGAAAATAAATGAAAATATTCAAATGAAGAAAAATGAAAGAAAATTCAAATAAAAGAAAATAGGTAGGAAAATTTAAATGAAGAAAAATAAAATTTTAAAAAAGTTAAAATAAATAGAAATTCAAAAAAAAGTTGAAATAAATAGAAATTCAAATATAAAAGAAAAATAAAAAACAAAAATACGAGAAAAAAACGTTTAAAAAGTGAAAAAGAATTTTTTTTCAAATTAAAAAAAAAGTACGCATAAATAAAGAGTTCCATATTGTGATATTGTTCAATGTTGTGAGAAAGTGAATTTGTGCATCGATAATTCCTTCTTCGTCACTTAAAATTTTTATTCTCTTCCATTTTTTTCGTTGTTGTTGTTGGTCGAAGAAGCATGACTCTTCATGGTAAGTGGAAGCATTTTTAACAAAATACGTTAAATAATTTTGGCATTGTACAACATGACGGAACTAGGGCAAGGCGAGAGATTTATAACCCCCCTGACTAGAGAAAGAAAGAGATAGTGAGAGAGAGAGAGAGAGAAAGCTAGATAAAAAAAGGGATTTCCGTGAAAACTTACTTTTAGATTTTTATACTCTAAACCATGCAGGCGAAATATTCTTTGATTCTTAGAGATAGCTTAGAACTTGTATATCGTTTGATAAACGAGAAGCTAACAAGAAAGATTTTCACCTTTTCTCCTTAGATTTCGAATTTTTTTTTTAAAATAATAGTAACTAATTTTTTCTGGAACTTGTATTTTTATATTTAAAATAGAGAAGAAGTATTTTTTTTTGAATTTGTACATTTTTGAAATAATTTTACCAACGGTTGATACAGTAGTAATCTACATTACCGACTGCTAATAGCCTAAGAATCTTCATTACCAGCAGTCGATAAATATCGGTAAAGCTTGTTTCTAGTTTTATCTATATATTCTCGACTGTTATTATCACTAAAATCTTTATTACCAGCGGTCGATAAAGTTTGTTTCTAGTTATATAAACATTATAATTATTTGAAAAAACTACATCACTAACTGATAAATAACACAAGAAAATTCATTACCAGCAGTAGATAAGGTTTGTTTACATTAATTATCTTTTTAAAAAACTACATTACCGACTGCTAATAGCCCAAGAATCTTCATTACCAGCAGTCGGTAAATATCGGTAGAGCTTGAAAAAAGAAGTTAATCAATTTTATCATTAAAAATTCAATTAAAAATCAAGGAATAAATTCAACTTGCAGAAAATTTTACAAAATTTTTGTCAAAAACAGTTTTTTTTGCTCTATATATTCAAGAATAGCTCAGCTTTATTTTTGCCTGTATGGAAATTTTCGTTTTTGTGACGAGTTTTATTTGTCATAGTTCTATTTGTATTTGATTATTTGAATAATGTTTTAGTTTCCGTTTCGTTGCGGATTGGGTATAACAATTTTCTTTTTTTTTTTTTTTTTTTGCTGGGGACTTTTTTTTGCAAATACGAGCAATTTTTATCCGTTGTTGTTTAGAGAGGGTCTGAAAGGGGGGGGGAGGGGGTTAGGTTATGTTGTTTTGAACATTTTTTATTTCTTTCGGTGGTAACTAACCCCTCGGGGAATGAAAAGTACAAGAAAGATAATGAAAACGGATGTTCGCTTTGCGGGGAAATAGACCCGAGGAAAACAAAGAGTGTGCGCGCGCCAGGAAAAGCTGAAAAACTTTTGTGTGTATGAGAGGAATTATTATTATTATTAATATTATTTCAAAGGCATACGAACATAAGTAAATGATACAATTAGAGTAATTTTATTATTAAAAAAATATATATAACAGCGTATAGCATACGAAATCTCTCTATCGCGAGAAAAACATGCAGTAATTAATTTCAACAAAGAAATACAGACGTGTATAATAAAGAAAAACTTTGTTTTTCAATTTGCTTTCACAATTATAATAATTATTATTTGTTAATTATTTAAAAATTTTTATGAATAAAATTTATTTCTTTTATTTCATTTTAAAAATTGTAGTTAGTGAATATGAGAAAATTAAAAAAGAAAAGTGAAAATAAAGAAAATATATTTTAGAGACAATTTTTATTACAAAAGTGATCTTTTATAAAAGTATATAAATTCTTGATAATTAACATTTTTGTTTATTTAAAGCACAAATTTTTTAAATCAATAAAAATAATTAATTAAGTTTGTTAAAATTAATTAAATTATTCATTAATACCTTTTTTTATAAAACGGTTCGTTTAATTATTTATTTATTCAATTATTTATTTATTTACATAATTATTTATTTACTTATTTATTTAAAATTTGATATTTTATTTACTTATTTTTTATTTGTTTCTCAATTAAAAATCTTAGTGAAAGAAGTTAAGAAATTTTTTTCTCCATATTTCAAATAAAAATTGAAAAATAAATCAAATAATTTTTTTATGGAAACTATATTGAATATTTTATAAATAGAACGATAAATTTATATTGGAAAATTTTTTTCTTGTTTTACAGCAAATAAATTTCTAGAATTTTGAAAAGATAAATTACCGAATCAACGAAATATATAAAGTAATTGGAAAAAAAATAATCTCGCAATTATCTCTCGAGTTAAAATTGCATTTTAAAAGAGATTACATAATAATTTCCTCTCTTTTTATGTACATTCATATTTCTCAATTTCTTTTCTTTTTCTCTATTTCCGTAGTATAAAAATTTTTTTACCTATTTTTCTATTGCTTTTTTCCATATTTTTTCTTTTTTTTTACACATTTCATTTTTTATTCTTTTTTCACCATTTCCTAGTTTTCCTCTATTTTTCCTTCCTAACTCTCTTCAAACTCTCTTATCATTGGAATTTTTTTCGATTCATTTTCATTTGCATTTTTATTATATCTTAAAATTTTTTTTAATTCCCATATAGAATAAAAATAGGAATTTCTTGTAAGTTTACAAAAAAAAAATGATATCTGAGAATCAGAAAATTTTTTTTTTATTTCTCTTTCTTGGTTGTAGGTCGTCCAATGGAAGGCCATAACTCGAAGGATTTTACAACCCTTAAAGACAAAGAATTCATCTGGCACGTGACTCTTAAACACGAGTGAGATCTGGTAATAAAATAATATACTATATATATTATACATATAAAAGCAAAGAAAAAAATATATATTTCCATTTTTTTTCTTTATGTATATACACACATTTTTTTTCTCGTTTTCTTTTTTTGCCGAAAGGTAAAACAATTTCCGAAGAAAAATTGAATCATGCTCGGTAAATAAAGATTCTTATTGGCTTGTTCATTATAAATTTTCAGCAAATTTAACTTTCTTTACTCAAGAATATTGCGGATATCTTATATATATATATATATATATACAAGTCAAGAATTTTTCTTCATTGTTAAAAATGTAACTCTCCTTTTATTCAACTTTTGAAATATTTAGAATATTTTTTCCTCTATATTTATTACTATTTTTGTTAATTTTATTTTCTTTGAATCTTATTTTTATATCTTTTGTCTTTAACTTTTATTTTATTTATTCTATTTTAATATTGTATTATTATAATTATTTATTCAAATTTTAAAATTATTTTTATAATGTTTATTATTAATATTTTTAACTTATAAATAAATAAATATATTAATATTATTATTATTACTTTCGACAGTGAACGAAATAACGCCGTTTTCGTAAAGCGCGAGTAAAGTGCGCGCGTAGTAATCGAGAAGTGGGGATAGCGTCACTACTCCCTACTCCTCGTTGGCTGCGCGCGCACTTTACTTCATTCGCACCCAAAGAACAACGACGCTAATAGTTGTCGTTATAGAAAAATTAAAAATTATTATTTATTATATATTATTATAATTAATATATTATAAATTATATATATTATATTATAATTATAATTATATTATTATATTATTATTATATTATTATATTATATTATAATATATTATAATTTATATATTATATATTATTATAATTAATTAATTATAATTATTATTATTATTTTAGTGTAATTATTATTATAATATTATTTTTATTATTATTATTAGGAAGTATTATAATTTATTAATGATTATATTAATTTACGTTTTTAATTTATTTAAAAAATTAAATAAATTTCTCTCGATGTTTAAACATATTAAAAGTACAAAATATATTTTTTTCGAATGAATATTTAAATGAATTTAAAAAAGAAACATAATATTTCCGTACAGAAAAAAAATACAAAAAAAAAACGGAAAAATTCTGAGAAATTTATGATGGAATAAATTTTCACCTCGTTGACAAGTTTAAAGAGAGGAAAGGAATTATTGCGATTCTATATTTCAAATATGTCATTTATGGCTCTCAGAAATATTGCACTTAAAGAAAATCGATGTTTTGTGTCTATATATGTATGTAGTTTTTAAATCTAGATATTATTGGCTTTATTAGAAAAAATATGATGTATTTTTTCATAAGAAAATTTCTACTTTTTTTATAAATAAGCTTTACATATAATTAAATATGCATAATATTATAATTACAATAAATATTTTATTTTTTAAATCAATAAAATCGGAATGTATAAAGTAGGACGATTTAAACTAATTTTATACAATCTTGTCTTTAGTTATTGAATAAATAATAAATATATTGAATAAAATCTATTTAGGAAATATTACAAGAATTTGCTTTTTTAAATTTGATTTTAAAAATGTAAATAAAATTTTCCGCTTGAAAAGTTAAAAACGAGTTTCAAAAAATATTTCAATTTCCTTCGAAAATTCTTCTTATATTTATATTGTATTATTATTATTAATATTATTTTTCGAAGAATTGTAAAAGTTCTTCAAAAACTGACTTTCTTTAATTTCTTCCAGGAAAATGTAGACAAGTTTGTAATTACAAATATAAGATTTCGTCCTTCAATTTTTTTTCTTTTTTTCCAAAAGCAGGAAAAATGATAAAACTTTTAAAAAACTTTCTTTTTACAAAAATTGGCAATCTTTTCAAAATTCTTCTTTCTTGTAAAAATAAAATAAATAAAAAAAATAATAAAGAAATAAAAAAAGGATAAAAATATTTTATTAAAATTATTTATTAACAACTTCTATATATATTTTCTAATGTAAATAATTAACTATTTTGTAAAATATTTACATTTATGGAAAAAGTACAAAGATTTATTTATTGATTTAAAAATGGGAATGAGAATACGAAGGAAAATTTTTATAAACATTTTATAATTTCTTTTTTAAATAAATGAAATGTAAATTACTAAACTAATTTACATAGTCTTTTTGAAATTAAAGCATTTTTAATTATATTGAGACAAAAAGTACTTCTACAGGCTTTTATCGAATTCTTTTCATCAATTATAGAATGCCAATAAAATATCAGAGTGCAAAATGTGAAACGAATTGAAGAGAAAATAGAATTGACTTTAAATGTTTTAAAGTGTCTCTCTCATGTTCCTTGTTTCCTTATGATAGTCTACTCGGAATTTTTTTTTTTTTATAAAACTTGCCCCCTTCCTTTGATAAAAAAAAATAATTTTCTAAATTTATTTTTCAATTTTAATTTTTACAAGAGAAATTTCTTTCGATGAGAAAATATTAAGAAAAGTAGCACTATATTTATTTATTATAATGAATTTTAAAAAATAATAAGTAAAGTAAAATAATAAATTAATTAAAGGAAAATAAATAAATAATAAATTTTGAAATAAATAATAAAATAAAAAATAAAATAATGAAACGAAGTCCAATAAAAAAATTCTGAGTTCATTTGTAGTAAGAAATATTAATTAGAGAGGGGAGAGTGACACGCCCAGAAGAGACTTGAGGGGGCTTTTTATTGGCTCGCGTCACGTGACCTTGAAGAAAACCTCAAGGTCGTGTAGCGCCAGCCAATCGGTGGGAGCGTAGACCTCATGTGGGCGTTGCCTCTCTCAGGAAGTACACGCGTTGTTTCGTTTGCTGCAATTCTTCTATGAATTTTTAGGAAAAAATCTCGTTCCAATCAATATTAGACTAGACATTTCTCTTTACTATTAACCACTCGAATAGAATTAAAAAAAACTTCCATTTACTCCCCAAAAATAGAATAATCACACTTATCAAACATTCATGAGGTTTCGAGGTTAATTAGATATTCATTGAATTCCGTACAAACGATATATTGGCTTCCTTTATCGAAAACATGGTAATAGAGAAATGCAATTAAAATTCTCTAAAATTGTTTTTAATTTCCAGAAAAGTAAATAAAAATTAATGAAAAAATTCTATATTGCAATTTTAATTATATTTAATTAATTCAAATAAACAATTTAAACTAGAAAACATGTGTTTTTTTGTAAATAAATACATAACTATATATAAAAGTATATCGGTTTTATTCGTAGATCCCTGTATACCGACATTTATCGACACTTTCCAGTCCAGACATTAAGCGGTTTGAATCCGGGCTGAGAAGTGTCGGTAAATGTCGGTGCAGGGATCTACGGATAATTCAGGCTTAATTTCTCTATCTAAATAAATTAAATATTAATAATCATTTTTCCTTCCAGGTGTGAAAAGCGATGTCTTGCGTCAACATCACGGCAAGTCGATATCCCCTCGAGTACTGGGATCGAAGATCAATTGATTTAAATGACGAGGGAGTGGATGAATTTTCAACGAATAATAACAATAATAATCAGCACTATCAACGGTATCCACGTTTTTCAACAGTGACGTCAACCGATTTATCAAACGTTAATTTGTCATCGTCAACGGCAACATTGTCGGGAAATGGAAATCTTTTGGAAAATCTGATAGTACCACTTTATGCAACAATATTTCTTCTATCGGTTGTGGGAAATTCCCTTGTGCTGATTACATTGGCAAGAAATAAACGAATGCGAACTGTGACCAACGTCTACCTGTTGAACTTGGTGCGTATAAAATGAAAACATGTATATATAGATTAAGTATTACCCCCCAGGGAGAAATCGCGTGTACAATTTTACTCCTTCTCTCTCTCTCCCTTTTTGACGATGTAAGGTCTCCTTTTTTTATGGGTTTACATACGTCCAGACGGGAAAATATTTACTCTTTCTCTCTCTGCTCTCTCTCTCTTTCTCCAACATCACGATAAAGATTTACTACACGACCCAGTTCCATTTTCTTAAATTTCACATTTCGCCTACACTATAACTTTTCCCCTTTGGGGCGTCATTAACATTTGCATGCATATTTTTCTCCCACGCGGACTGAAGATGACGAACATTGTAATGGGAGCGTTGGTAGCGTATAAATTTAACTTTGGTATTATGAGAAGAAAAATGTCCGTTACGCACGTGGATAATTTTGATTAAGTTATTCATAAAAAAGTTTAAGAAAACAGTGAGAAAATAATTTCATAGTCCACTGAATTATTCTATAGTGAGGAGAGAAATTGTGCTAGAGATTTTTTTTCATAATCCACGGACTTATTTATTTCTTCTTACTTTAATATCAATTACCAACGTTATAAATGTTTGCGTGGAAATTTTTCTTAAAAACCATAACTTAATATTGCGTCTAAAAATAAATATTGATTCTAAAGTAAATATTGCGATTGCAGAACGACGATGTACTTGCATTTGCATGATTCTTTTAGTATTTATTTCCTTATTTAAACTTTTAGTTAAATTTTTATTTAATTTATAATTTTTATATTTATCCTTATATGAAAAAAGTAGATATGCAAATTAGATAAAGGAAGACATCCTTATGTTATTTGTTTTAGAAAGAGGAAGAAAATACAATACCAGCTGAGTAACGCTTAAAGTTTCATACTTTTATCTATAGTCTTCCATGCGATGAAGGGAGAAAGAAAATAGTACCTGGGTTCCCGTTTAATATGAATTTAATTTTGACTATTGAAATACCATTTCACTGCAGGAAGATAATCTTTTATTTTCATTTGCAAAGAAAAAGAAATAACATTACCTGAAGAAAGATAATCTCATGTTGTTTTCATTGCGTAGGTGCTATTCGACAATAACAAAAACAATAGGCTATACTTGTTGACAGTCGCAGTGCTTACTGTCGATTGAGTTGCTCTCGGCCTGTGGGCCCCTTTTATAGTGCCCGTTAGCCACGCCTACTCACACTTACTCCGCGCTGGTGGGGGAACCGACGCCGCGTGAGCACCAATCCCGTTCATTCACTTTTAGGCCTTCGTAGCGCACACTTCGTTCCTCCTCAACTTCTTCTAAACTCCCCCCCTCTCACACTGTCCATAGTACCACATCTCCCCACTCTTAAAATTATAACAGACAACTGTCTACAATCCAAACAAGAATCCTTTTTATTTTCCCAATTTTTTACTTCCTTACTTTTAATTATTAATAAATATCATCATACAAATTAATATTTGTATGATGCTAATAATAATTATATAATAATAATAAAGTCACAATATTTAATTTTCCAATCGAAAATTATTTCTTTACAAACAATATAGTAATTAAATTCTATTTTTGCTTTTTATGTTATAACTTCTTCAAAATATGCGGTCGTAAAAATATTACTAGTTTAAATACACCATTAGTGTTGTATTTACTTGAAAATGTTGAGATTCCTTGTAACTTTGAGAAAGAGAGAGAGAGACAGAAAGAGAAAAGTTTGGAGACCCTTTAGAAAGGGGAAAAAGTTCAGGGAAAGTGTTGAATGAAATTTTCGAACTTGATCCAGTTATCAAATTTAAAATGAAAAAAGTTTCGCGAAAATTTATAAATAGAGGAAATGGAACATTTAGAGAAATGACAAAATGCAGGGAATTACTTGACAAACAATTTTTTACTATTTGGAATAAGATTCCAAATTGAAATGGCAATCACTAATATTAGAAAAATATTAATGTTTAATTTATGTTGTTATTTGTTACAATTTCTTACTATTTATTATTATAATTTTGTTATTTGTTAATTATTATTTGTCACTGTAATTATAATTTGTTATTATTTATAATTAAAATTTTTTTATTTGTTAATTATAATTTGTTAATATTTATTACAATTTTTTTATTCGTTAATTATAATTTGTTAATTTTTAATAACAATTTGTTACTGCAATTTTGTTATTTATTAATTATAATTTGTTATTATTTATTAGTACCATTTTGTTATTATTTGTTATTACAATTATTATTTTTAATTGTAAATTTGTCGTGGTAATCTTGACGGTTTTCGATTCTGTAATAGAAACGCTCGGTGAAAGTTCTCGCGGTCAACTGAGACGCTCTCGGTCGCAAGGCCCCTTTTATAGTCGTCACAAGCCACGCCTACTCTTCTAAGAATCGGTCTCAAATGGAGGGGGAAAACGACGCCTTATTATCGCCAATTCCTTTCATTCACTCTTCGTTCCCCGTAGAGTACACTTCGTTCTTTTAAGTCTTAGTATTTGATCTCATTATACTTTAACAAATTTTTCTCCTTTTCTAAAAGTATATAATAAAAATAAAAACATGAAACACATAAAATAATTGTATCGTAGAAAATTATTTTATAAACTAAGTAGATAAAGTAAATTATTTTAATAAAATTATTTTACAGAATATTTACTTTCAAATATTAAACTTTTCCGATTTATTGCTTTTTGTTCAGTATTGAAAATCATTTTCACGTAACAATAGAAAGCATTCGATATGTAACGGAATTAATGGAATTTTTTGTAAAGCATGTTTGATTGAAATATTTCGCATATTTGTAGGAACGAAAAATGCAACGATAATTATCTAATTATTCTCCTATTTGAAAAATTTCTTTTGCAAATTATTTAATGACGTTCACTTCATGCATTCCAATTTTGATAAATTTATTACCTAAACGTTTTTGGATTATGTGATAAGGAAAATAAAAATACAATTAAAAAGTGAATATCGTACGAAGCATAAAAACTAATAGCCCATAAAAAGAATTAACGATATAAAATATAATTATATTTTTACTGGTTCAATCAGAATTTTAAAAGAAGGCAAATATGTTATTCATTTTTAACTCACTTTAATATTGTATTTTTTTTGCTATTTGTTATATTTTCCTCTCCCAATTAATTTCTGATTGAAATTTCCTGTTCTTTGAAATTTCTCTTGCCAAAGAAAATTCAATTTTACACCAATTGCACATTGTTTCGTGAAAATGTGATAAATTACTTCGCAATTAAATTCATTAGAATTTTTTTTTCATTTCTATAAAAAATGTGTAAATGTGCGACAAGAAAAAAATCAATAATTACTATATTAAAGGGACTTTAATAAAATATTGTGTCAATTGGAAAAATTGAGGGGAGAAGAAAATGCATACTTTTTGATATTTAAGAATTTTAATATTAAGGATGGCTAATTATTTATGTTTTTTATTTCAACGTATGCAATCAAAGAGGGAAAATTAGTAATTATGAAAATAATTGAGAGTAACGAATGTTTGAATATAAAGCAATTTCAAATGTCGAACGAACTGGTCTATTTTATATACACATCTATATATATATATTTAAAGTAGGGGAAATTAACGAACCGAGAGTTAATTTTGCTTAGAGATTAAAGCGAAATATTATATTTTGTGAGAAAATGAATAATTATGAAGTGTTAATATAATGCTTTGATGGAGTTTCTAGAGTCATTTATGAACTTGGCATATTTGATTTTCTTCTAATTACTGCCAGTGCTGCGCTGGGTTTTTGCGGTTTGTCAAGGTAAATAAAAGCAAGAAGTAAAATTTATTATGTGGAAAGAAAAAATTATTTTCTTCACATTTTTCTTGATTTTTAAGAAAAAGTTATGATATTCAATTTTTGGACCTCTATAAATTTCAGTAAAGCTGACTTTTGTTAGAGCGAAACCATTCACTGACTGTAGAAATTCACTCTCTCTTACTCTCGCATCCGAAGGATATTTCTTACCAAGCTCAGCAGCTTCCGCCATTCGTGTGGACCCTCGAGAGTCTCGTAATCTTATTACAGCTTCATAAGCGCCTTAAGGGGTTTTGAAACTCTTGCTGTCAAAGTCCTCTAATGAAAAGTGCCAAGATTTTTTGATAAATTGTCGTTTAGTATAATATATTCGTCTTCATGAAATTTTGCCAATCATTTGGAATTTATATTTTTATTATTTGGGGGGGTTTTTTAATTACACTCCCAGATTTCTAATGTATGATTTCGATCATGATTTTCGAAAAGTGGCAAAGAACTTGCATACCTGCCTTAGGCAGTCACCTTTAGTGACTTAAGAAGCTTTTCTTGCTTCCGCTGGGTGTGGAAACTTTGTATTCACCTGCGGAACTACCTTCCGGCTGCAGATTTTACAGATGAATGGTTCCCTTTCGTATAGCGTTAGCGTCTTTTTCTTAGGGGCAGTTTTGAGGAATCTGGCAATTTGCTGTTGTCAAAATGTACGGCGTTCCTGATTCCTTTTCATCGTTAAAGTTCTCGCATAAGAAGTTGCAAGAGCTTTTTTGTAATCTGCTAATTTGTGATCAGCTATGGGAACAGGCGAAGGAAATTAATGCTGAGAACTGAGGTCGAATATTCTTCATTAAATTTTGTTACACGATAGCAATACACTCTTCTTGAAAAAGGTGCAGTTTTCTCTCCTTGCAAACCTCCACTGATAGGAAGATGCAAGTCTATTGTCAACTGTTGCTATCATATCCACTAACATTACTTTTTTTAATTCCTTCTTCCAAATGTTTTGATCATTCCTTTTCAAGAAGGGAATTCGATTTCTGGAGTTTTTGGGTTTTATAGTCAACAGTTTACATAGAAAGATTAGCGCTACGATTCAACAATCTACGATCTGTTAAGTTCGGTCAATCCGTTCTTATCTCGACATGATCGTCTTAGAACTAAAATTCGCAACTGTTCACAGAATTGCACCTTAATAGTTTCTAATATTTGTAAATTTCGTTTC